GGTACTTTTGAGAGCTGTTTTTCAGGTCCTATTTCGACCTGAACGTGCAATTTGTGTAAAAAGTCGTCGTTGGGGGCAGCAAACAAAACATAATAAATTGTGACGTAATAAACAGGACTCGTTTATACTACGCTGCATCGGGAGTCCTGTTTATTACGCGTCACGATTTACTATGTTTTGTTTGCTGCCCCCAACGACGACTTTTACACAAATTGCACGTTCAGGTCGAAACAGGACCTGAAAAACAGCTCTCAAAAGTACCTTTTGTACTCATTTCATGACGGACACAATAGTCGTTTTTATTTCATCACACCTTAGGCTACATATATACCCAAAAAATGACGGAAATGTCTATGAGCATTCCACAACCTCTTTAAAGTTGCTCTAGCCGTGCTCTTCTGCATATTCAATTTCTTTCTGCTAAAAAATGTTAATTTGTATGTTCTAACAAATGAAGAAAAAAAATCTTCTACATGTATTTTCCACCCTCTAAAAATACCTGTATATTGGGTTGCTATTGGGTTCTTTTGTGCCCATAACACACACTTGTTGGGCATTAGGTAATTTGAAATCTGTCAAGTAAATTCTTCCATTCAATAAACGTGCGCAGATTGCTTTGCTTGATGTCTCATTTTAAAAGTGAAACACATTTTTGTTTGCTAGAAAAATAGCAGTTTAAAAACCTAATCCATGTTTGGGGTGGTGAAACTCAAAATCAGCATGGGGGAGGGCATCTTGAGTACACAGAACTATTGTTCATGTACATGGAGCACAGAACGACTAGACTGGATAGATCATGCAAGCATCCCAGTTTGCAAAGAAAGGAAGTTTATGTGAGAGTTAGTTGTAAAGCCTAATGGCCACCTACTTTGGAAAACCATGCTGGACAGTAAAGGACATATGAATATTATGTGTACATTATTGTAAATAATGTCTACATTGAAATAATTAATATGGACATTAATATGGATAGCAACTGCATTTAGAAAATAAATACGATAATGGAGGGTTTGATTTTGTAGACAGTGTTCACATGAATTCATAAAAAGACACTTTGGTGGTTGTGTTGTCTTGATTGTCCACATTCCACAGTGATATGATATATGATGCCATGCCTGTTGGTTGTCAATAGGTGTTTCTTGCGTTTTTGTTTTTATATTGAACTGTACACAGTGACGTGAACATTTTTCAGTTGACTAATACTTCAAGTGATAAAGTGTCATGTTTTTTTCTCTCCAAAGTTTGCATACCCGTGACTACAACATTCTTTTTAATCAAAATATAACGTTCCATGTATCACAGTTAATGTCTTCCATGCATACATGTAAAGCGTTACATTTAGTGCTGTAGGCGTATCACTGTGGGCCAATGACTTTAAAAATTGAAGGCTTTTAAAAGCAAAATGGAGATATATTGACATAGATGAAATGGAACGTGATATTAAAGAGATTTCATATGTAGGGAATTGTACCAACAGTGTGCTTGTGTAATTATTATTATGAGCACAATTATTTAAACCTAACTCCCTAAGCTTTCTTGTCCAGAAGCAGCCTTATTTCTTCAAATCCTCCAATTGCAAATCGTTAAAAACTCTAAGCACCTGAATCCTTCGAAATCCTCCACTGGTTTTGCTGGCATATTATCACACAAGCTGATTTACCCGATCATAGATCGGGTAGGGCGTAGTGTTGGGGATGAAAATGTGGGGAATTAAATGTAAATGGGGATATAGTTAGGGAGACATGCAGTTATAGAAAAGCAATGTCTGTGGTGTGATCTGAGGCAATTTCTGACCACTAAAACCAAAGATCATCTTTTAAAGTTTTGCGTTTGGAGTAATTGAATCAGCTACATGTATTCTGAGCAATAGAATCATTATTGTAGGCTACAACATTTTTATTCGGGGAAGAAAAAGTGGGGGGGGGGGGGGAACACCCAAAAATGCCCCCCGCCTCAAAATGTGTGTGCGTGTGTGTGTGGGGGGGGGGGGGGGGGGGGGATGGGGGTGGGGGGGATGGGGGTGGGGGGGATGGGGGGGGGTCCCCCTGTCCCCCGTCGATTTACGCACATGATAATTATGTACCGTGGCAACTGTCTGTAAATGTTGCCGTTGGTCTGTTAAATTGGCTTTTTAGTGTGAGGCAGTCGAATTTGGAAAAAGTAGTGAAAAGGTTACTGTAGTACACAGGCGAAGGCTGGTTTAAATCATAATGCAATAAAACGTGAAGGTGTCATTTGAAATGAAAATGTTGAGTGTTACCATAAAATTACAAACGGTCTGAATCATGGAGGAAGGTCATAATTAAGTTTCAGTATTGGACTCTTCAACAAACGTGAACTTGAACTTCTAACAATTTGTGAGACCGTCTGCGAGGAAAAAGTCGGTAACTTTTATTGACGTTGGTACAACCATCTATATAAGAGCAGGTTTTACTCGGCCTCGGAGAAATGTTTGCTCCTGAAAGGATCCGAGACCGCGGCTTCACGTCCGTGGAAAAATGTGGGTGTCTTCCGCCGGGTCGGACACTTTTTCGTCGATTTTTTTTGTGACTGCGTTTAAGATCGCGAGTTTGAAGCAATGCATCGATCCTTCGTTGACCCCAAACAGGCCCCCGAAATTATAACACGACACTGAATTATACGTGGCGGGCAGCGAACTCACAACGCTCAGCCTCAGGGGTGGAAGCATGGAGCTGTAAACACATTATGGAAGCAACAGCACTCTATCACGCGACGTCACATGCTTGCGCTTCAAATAGCGAGCACCGTAGACCCAACCTCGTTTGCAGGGTGTGGAGCAGGCTGCAGTACGCGTTGCCATCGACAGTTTTGCATAGCCCGGAAATACTACGCAGTGTAGACTTTCGATTGGTTAGACCGCGCAAGGCATACTTAATGTGTAGTCCTTCTGAGTATTCGTTGCACTCGGCGCAGGGGCGGCAAGCGAAGCATATGAAAGAATAGGGGCACTTGGTGGCCACGCACCATGGAGAAAAAATATTTTACCAAGGTCACCCCATACCACAATTTGGTGAACGCTTTTGCAGAACGGCCGAGTAGAACACGTAAACGGAACCCCTACTTCGAAGCCGCTGACCTCGCACAGTCTTGACACGCAGAAAAGCCAGGACTGGGGGCGGCCAGGCAGTCAACGTGAAAGCACACACGACGGCAAATTCCTGCGCAAAATGCAGTCACGAAAAATAGACGAAAAGGATCGCCGGTCCGTACGGGAAAATCAGGACGACCCGAAGTGTCCGACCCGCCGGAAGACACCCTCCGCATTTTTCCACGGACGTGGAGCGATTTTGGCGTCGCGGGAGCCCGCAGTCTCGGATCCTTTCATGAGCAAACATCGTCTCGGAGGCCGAGTTTAACTCTCTCTTATATATATAGATAATCGGACTTTAATACTCTTTTTTATTACTCTGTGTAAAAATTTATTGAAATCCTCCATTGTTATTACCTGTATTGTGAATTGGCAATGCCAGTTAGGCCCTATATATGTACAGTCGACTCTCATTATAAAGAGCACTTTTATAAAGAGGTTCTGCTTATAAAGAGCAAATTCTGAGGTCCCATATCTCAGGTTCTCTTTGTGTTTCTTTGTTTCGCTGTCCTTTTACAACAACATTCCTGTTATGAAGAGGTAATTTGGCTAGTCCCATCGACCTTGTTATAACGAGAGTCGACTGTACATGTAATTGGAGTAAAGAGCTGTACAATAAACAGTAGTTATGTGCTGAATGCCTATAGTTGCAATTTATACATGCATAAAGCTTATAGTTCCATGCATAAAGCAAGTAACAGCCTGAATCCTCCAGAATCATGTTTTTGGCAAAACCAGCCAGAGACTCAATCCTCCCATTTCATCCGGCATCAGTTGGGGCCTGCTATGGATCCTCTATTATCCTCCAAAGACAAAATCCTATCATGTCCTCAATCCTGCAAAATCTTCTGATGCTTCAATTTTATCAAAGGCCCCCAATCCTTCAAAATCCTCCATTTAAATGCAAAGAGGATTTGGGAGGATATTGGATAAATGTTTTGTTTTATGACCAAATTGTTCAAAAGTCCTTGTCAACGGTTAGCAGGGCAAGAATTAGTAGGGGAAGGGATTGAATGGATGGGGGATAGGTTTGGTGTGGATACAGATAAGATAATTGCACAGACAGGGGAGAGTGAAACTACATGTAAGTAGGAGTGCCTAGAACTTAGAAGACATTGTAAACAGTCTGGAATTATATAGCCAGCTAAAAGATAATTTCATAGTGATGCGTGATACAGGTATTGTGTACCGGTAGTATCGAAAACGAAGACCGAAGACCCACTCGAAAACAAAGACTCACTCGAAAACGAAGAACATTTTCGAGTGGGTCTTTGGTCTTCGGTTTTCGTTTTAGGGGTCTTAATGTTTTCGATACTACAATTGTGTACCACCACTAGTGGTCAGTACAGCACCAGTATGCACATTGGAATAATACTGTGCATCATGTAATGTGCATACATACAGTACATGCACACTTTCACTGCCTATACCTTCATGGTAATGTGCAAGTACATACTGAACCATTAACATAGCATTAAGAGTAAGTGAAAGTGGTGTGGATATTCAGATCTCTAGTGTTAATACTGTTATGTAATTGTATTGTTAGTATTATGAAGCGTAAACTCTGCATTAGTGAGCAGGCAGTGTGGTAGCTTAGGAATGTTGGACAAGAACCCCTGCACTCATTTGCAAGGCTTGATATAATTGTGTACTAGAGCTGGGAAGGGGTGTTTGTGTAGGAATGGTCGAGCCATACATGTATGTAGGAATGGTCAATATTGCCAGGATAATGGGTCAGGTTTTAAGTTATTTCTGAAGATTACACCATGGAGAAATTTCTCCATGATTACACCTATCGTTGTTACCAGCATGGAGGTACTTTAGGTTTTATGTTTGGATGTGTTCACATGATTGTGATGATAATGAGTCATGTCTTGTGTCATTCTGTCAGCCTCCCAAGTCACCTGCAAAGAGTGCCAAGGGGAAGAAGGGCAAGTTAAGCAAAGCAGAGAAGGAACGACTCAAGAAAGAAGAGTTGGAGCTTAAAGCTAAAGAAGAAGGTGAGTCTTATCGGCCATGGATCTGGCCCTGCATCATGGGTTGATCCATACATGACATGAGTTTGTTAATAGCAATACTTCATTTCTACACATTTACACATGTACATTTATATGGTTACATTCCATGTTTTTTTTTTGGGGGGGGGGGGGTGGGGGTGGGGGAGGGTTGGCCTCTTTACGTGGTATTTTGTTATAATCACATTTCTTCAGTGATTATATCTTTTAAATTTGATGCCTGTATTTTATCCCAGTGTATACATACACATATATAAGGCAGTGGCTACTGAACAGGTACGGGTTCCTGATTGCGTGAGGCTAGGTAACCGGGAGACCTTGACGTCACGTGAGATCTCACAGGATCAACCACCCCGCGCTGAGTGCAGTGGCGTGCAGACAGACACAGAAATATGTCTGCTAGCCCTTAAAAAAACAACCTCCAAAGCCCACAAATCACAAAAAAAGTTAAATTTCATTTCATTTCCCTGACTTGCGTTTTTGGGGAGGGAAAAAAATTAACGTTTTGATCCCACAAGGAATCGAACCCATGACCTGATGATCCACTAGACCACAGAGGTGCTTCGATAGCTATTGAAAAATTAAACCTCATGGTTATTGTATGCGCATTATTGCTGCCTGTTACGTAGCCTCACGAAATCAGGGACCGGCAGCGGTTCAGTAGCCACTGCCTACATTGTAGGTAGAATGCACTCATGTCTTGAGATTGTGTATTGATGTTGCTTTAGTCATGACCTGCCATTTACATGCAGACCCATCAGTGTATCTGAATTCACACGGCTCTCACAATAACCATGAACAATTATCACATCCTGTCTTACTTCCATTGAGCAGTTGAAGAAGTCTAATAAGGAAATGCTGCCAATTTAGATTGCAGACTCCCAATTGTTTAACCTTGTCAATTACAGGTCACAGTTTGCCACACCAATTAATACAACATACAGTACATAATTCCTTGCATATTTTGCTGCTGTGATGGAGTATGTATATTAAAACGCTGCGCATGGGTATTTTGTTATCAGGTACCAATCCTACCACACTGCAGGAGTAATGTACAAAACACATGTGCTGATGTACACTTACAAGCAGTCTTGCACACGCACATAATAAAAGCTTGAGCCATTTTTTTCACCATGTAAATGTACAGTGTACATGTACATGTATGGTGCAAGTGTAGTGTACGGTGCAAGTGTAGTGTACGGTGCAAGTGTAGTGTATGTACATGTACATGTGTAAGTTTACATGTAGGCCTATGCATGCATGCTGGCATAACACAGTGTACAAGCATCCCGACAACAGACTTTAGTAAAGATGTTGACTGTAAAGTTGACACTTCCTCCAAAAAAAACAATGGAATTAATGGAATTTACCATTTTCAAAGGGAAATCAAGGTTTTTGAGAAATCCTATGGTGTGTGTACTACAGAGATCTATGAAACACTTGAAACTAAATTGTTTGTGTGAACAATTTTCAGCATACTGTACAGTTTTGGGCAGTTCTGTTAACTTCAATTCTGTAGCAAAATTGTTTGACATAAAACTAAGTTCTTTTGTTGTCAGTGAACATCCACAATTTAGAACACTCTTGATTTTAAAGAATTCCCTGCCTTTCAAATGTGAATGCTAAAAGTTACCAAGTGTGGATCTTGTTGCAAGACTCTTTGACTTGTCATTGGCAGACCACATGTTAGCTGTTAGTGTGAATCAGCATGATTGGCGATGTGATTCAGCTTTTTGCTCCTAGGCAAACTGGACTATGTGTTGTCACCCAGGAGAGTAGTACACTTTAGCAACTGCTGATACAAATCAGTCTTATTGTCATCAACTCACAATGCAATGAACACCTCGTGTGTATTTTATAACTCCATGGTGCAACCCGTGCCATGATTCAGCTGTTTAAGCAAACAATGAAAATCTGACTGTACCTGCTGGAATATTTCTCAGATTTTGTGACTTTTAAATTTTTGTTTTTTATTATGCTTTATTTTGTTTAATTCTGGGTGTCATGATAATGGGTTTATTGGCAATGTCATTGACAATGGATTTAAAGCTACATTCCATCATTTGCACCCATCTCAAAAGTAAGTGACGATATTACTGTTGAAAAGCATGTTTGGTTTAAAGATAGAAATGGGACTGAACTCCCTGTGAAATTATTTTTTTCTGGCAAGCTGTTGATTTGAAGAAAACAATGAAAGAAGGCAATTTCTAACGATGCGTCTGAAGACGCATTCTTGGAAATTTTTTTTTTAATTCAGCGAAGCACGTGCAAGCTTTGACACGACGCACATGCGCGCGTGGTTGTTATAATTTGTCAATTAAGTGCGCGACATCAATCGGCTGAATGAGAATGTGTCCCGGACGCTGAATACGGGCCCCATTAAAAAAACATGACTCAACAACTTTTGTTCTGAAATCAAGATCCTAGAATATTGTTTTCTCAGAATACACAGCATTCACTTTGCTTAAACTTCATCAGGTTAGTTGTCAAGCACTCTTCTTTAGATTTTGAGCACTTTTGTTGCTTCAAACGAACATAATGCACAAATTACAAATGATGGACTAGACCTTAAAATGAAATGAGACCACACAAACATCTGGTATTGCACATTGTAGATGAATTCTCTTCATGTTAACAACTTGATGAGTTGACTGAACCAATCAAGCAATAATGATGCAATCATCTTGAATGTTTAATTGTTTATAGAGGATGCTCGCCTTAAAGCTGAACAAGAAGAGAAGGAACGTTTGGAGAGGGAAAAACTTGAGAGAGAAGAACGTCTACGAATAGAAGCTGCTGTGAGTAGTTTCAATGACATTACAAAGTAATTACCACCATGGAATCAAACTAGCATCACATTCTCAGAGAGGATGTACATGTAGTGTGTTTCATCAAGCTCTACCATGTCAACATTCCTATCTCCTGAACATGGACATGTCTGATATCAGTCCAATTAATGGGAATTTTTTTTATCAGCTGAGCAAGGATGCTTCAATTTCCTGTGAAACTCTTTGATCTAACAGAATTATAGGTGCACCCATTACGCACTACAAAGAAACCCATGGCTTGACTTTAAGATGCCATAAATTTCTTCCTTCCTTGTACATGGTAAAAATTGCATGTTAATTCCCCCAAGACAAAGAGCCTGTGAGTTGCTGAGTAAACTGATGGGACAGGAAGACAGCATTAAGGCTTGCAGTAAGTGTATCCCATGCGACATACAAGTTAATTTGTGGAGGAAGGAAGCTATCTTAGATGGTTAGTAAGGAGTCGTATTGTGTATATAGATGCCTGCTTGCTGACTTATTGTGTCATTCGGTCCCTGAGTACACTGCAAGCAGGACCAAGTCAGTTGCATGGGTGAGTACTACATTGCATACTTACTGTACCAGTCCAAAGAGACAATACACTATGTGCAATAGTGAATGTGTCTATATACTGAAGGCATTTTGTTCAGATCAACAGTTGCTTGATAGCCTACATGTATGCCTCCTACCTGCGTTGTGTGTAGTTTGATGTAATAGTCCAGACTCTAATATCTGCCGTGTCATATTGTGATTCAGGAGAGCCAGCGTCATGCAACTGAAGTCAGTGAGTTGTTCTCCATCTTGGAAGGCAATGAGATTGCGCTTGCAAACATTCATGATGAAAGACGAGCTAAAGCTAAGGTAACATTCTGCAATTCATTTTTTCCATTTTTTGACTGCCATCAATTCATTTTTGCAAAGTTCTTTTAAGCTCTTTAATTTCTTTCAAAGAATGCAGAACACAACACCTTCAACTTCTTATGTTACCTCCACCTCGTTCCCTCATTCTCCTTCCTTTCAACCTTGTTCTTACAAGTATATTCACTTGTATTTGGATTGGATCCTGCAAGGACAAATAATTCATTTGTATTATTAGTACCTATTTAAATGTTGAATGATAAATCCCAATCCTGCTTACAATCAGCTTCTCTTTTTCCATTGTGTTTGTAATCATTTTCATTTTTAATGTAGTTGTGGTAAGTTTTAATGAAGGGTGTGATTATCATAACTGAAGAATATCAGCTCTAAAGCATATCAGACTGTTACAAGTCATGTTTCTGGAAGCTGCTTGAAGTTTCCATAGCTAGTGCCAACAGGTATTACATAGCTGTTAGGAACACCGTATTGGTTTCAGTGCGTACAACTTGTAGCTTGTCATGCTAACAGTCAAACTCAAGTTGGATAAAATGTTCTTAAGGCCAAAAAAAGAAATAAGTCGGTCTCTGGTCAGCGTGCGCGTTGATTTTAATCATGCGCGTCGATCTTTTTTTCCCCAAAATGTTCCACGGTAGCTCCAACAGCGCCCTCTATTTCCACACCTCCATTTTTTTTACCAAAGAGCACCAAGGAATGGGAAATTGCACCAAGGCAAATGATCGAATGCACCAAGGCAAATTATGGAGGGGACCAATGTACATGAGGACACCAAAAAAGCAAAATAGTACCCCACCTTGTCTGTACAATCCAAGCTTGAAAAATAAAAAAAAATCCAAAAAAAAAAAAAAAAAATCCGCGTGGCCGCGTCAATTCCGGAAATTTGGTCTGACCAGAGACCGAAACAAATCTCATTTCTTTTTTTAAGGTTTATTGTTTAGGAAGGCCAAATATGGTGGCAGACATGAATATAGTATACTGGAATTTGAACAAAATCATTTTTTTACGGTGGTACCACACTCACGCGCATGCTGCATGTGTTCTTAAAGCATGGTGCGCGCATTTGATAACCCTATTGGTGGAAGGTGCTCGAAGTGCGTGCCTACTACCTGAGCGCGACTCATGCAAGTCTGGTGCCATCGCAGAAAATGGCCGACGCCGAATTAGTCTATAGAGAAATGTTTTTGTCAAATATTCTGCAAAGCAGTGCAGGATGTAATAAGGCATTGTAATCAAGACTGTGTTGAGGGATGTGGGGGGGATTCAATGAGTAGCCATTCATCAGTGAGTGCACGGGTGACCATCTACATACAGCTATGTCATCTGGAATGTATTGTTACAATCTCATTTTCACTATGATGCAGTTTGTATGGTAGCTAGATTTAGGTTTTTTACTCAGGCAGTTTGTTTCTGTAACGCCAAACACATGAAAAACAACATGATGATGAGTTCATGTACATGATGTCAAGACCTTTTGGCATCATTCAACTTTCTATGAACAGTTTTTGTCCTTCATGTAGATCAACAGTTCCCATACTGTATTCACACCTTGTATCCTACATGTGTGCACCCATTTTTTGAAAGAAAAAATGTATAAAGTTCCATTGGTCCATTAATGTGACATTAAAACAGATCATATCCTGTGGACCAGTGCTACAACAATGCTATGGAAAGCCATTTGGCAAAACATCAAGTAAACTAGAAGGAAATGAACATAATGTGATTAGTGCTGTTGGATCATTGTTAACAAGTTTTTTTTATGGAAACAGTGGCGGATCTAACCTCCCTTTACCACACACAAAATGGATCCGCCCCTAGCAAATGAGCATTTATTCAATACAAACATTAAATAATCTCAGTGCTCTCTAATGCTGATGTATCCAGGTCGTTCAAGTTATTTTCCATAAAGACAAATAAAAGTGATGAAAACAAAAGTTAAAGCAGTGCTCACCGGGAATTATTCAGGCTGAATTTTTGGCCCCGCTGGGCCTTCATCCAGAATAATTCCCGGTGAGCACTGCTTAAACTTTTGAAGCAGTTCCGCTTCAATTTGTACGATTCCATAAAGACAATGTATGACCATATCCACACAGGGAATTTTTAGAGAACTATTTTTTTTTGGGGGGGGGGGGCCGGCTAGTCCATTAACTCTTAGCCCCAATGCCCTTTTGGCTAGGATGCATCCTCCATCTTTCAATATCCAACTGCCTCTGTGTAAAAATGGATGTAGCCTCACTGTCAAAGTCTCCCTTTTATTGCTTGGATTGATTCAGTGGAGGGGTGACCGCTGCCTTAATCCTTCTAAATCCTCTGACTCACTTTTAAGATGTAGCAGTGCGGATGATATCCAGAAGCAGTGCAGAGGATATCCTGTAAAATGTAGGCCTCAACTATGCACGGCTGAACATAAACAATGTAAGGCACAACTTAAGACATTGACACAAAGCATCATAAAAATCAATCCTCCTCAATCGTCCAAAATCACCAAGTAGATTTTGGAGGATTGAGGAGGATTAGGGGTAATGTCATTTCTCTGCCTAAATGTGTCTATGATTTGGATTTGTTACAGTGGGAGCGTTACATGCTGTGTGATGGCACACCAGACCCCACTATTGCTGCTGAAGTGAATACATACATCAATTTATCCTATGAAGCTACTGACACCAATGCCATTGAGTCAGTGATAGCTGACAGTAAGCAGACATTGGCTGTGAGTATCACAAACTAGTCAACATGTTGATTGTCTAGTCAAAAGTTCATAATATGTACTCATCAAGGTTTTTTTACGATGAACATTTCTAAATTCAAGAAGTTTGAATCTTTGTAGTCAGTGTCTGTTGATCCAAGGATTCTTATACAGAATACCTCAACTCACTGTTATTACAGTGAAGCAACAATCAGTCATGAGGTCCAAAGCGGTAGAAAGCTGATCTATGTATAAAACTGTAATTTACAATTTAAAAATGTATGCACTGAAACAAGTAAAGAGAAATAAATACAAAGATAGTTATTTCCCCTCCCCTTCCCTTTCCCTGAAAAAAAAATTGTTTCAGCTTTATAGATTAACATCTAAGTGCTCATAGACCAAAATGTGTAGATCAGTAGAATAGTCTGTGGGTACAAGTTCATAGTTCAAAATAGTTCAGTTGGCTGCTGAAGTCCTTGTTGTTCATGTACATGTTTTTTTTTTTTTGCTGGTAGTCAAAAGCTTTGGCTTACTTCCCATTGCTTTGTTTTCATTTGGATAGGACTGACTTGTTTTACACTTTTTAATTTGTTACACACCCTTTAGTTTGCCATTTTATTTTCTGTGATATATTTGTGGTTATTAAATTGACCAGCATTTTAAGTGAACAATGTTGGAGTTGCACAATTACATGTAGATAAGGCCAATAATAAAGTCTCCGGTTTCTGGTATGCGCACGCTTCACCGTAGCCGTGCGCGTCGGCAAAACTAAAAAGTTTTTTTTTCAATGTAAGATGATGTCTCAAAACCGCCAAACTCACTGGTTTGACTGGAATCCTGCTGCTGCACAATTTTAACATGTTTTTAGATGGGGTTACTATCGAGTATAAGCTTTGTGTGGCCTCTCTGGCCTCCCATATATTTTGCACTGCATTTAGTCGGGCACCATTTGCAGACGGTGTTGTAATTTTATAATTGTGCGTCTGGAAGCCAGACTGAGGGAGCGATGGTCGTGTACCTGGAACCTGTAAACCCTTTTTAATTAGCGCAATATGTAAGGGAGCAGCCTAATGACCAGCCTGGCAGCACATTCACGATGTCGCTGTATGGTCTGACATTACCATTTTCTCTGATTTTGTCTTGACTATCCAAATTTCCCGAAGAATGTTCTTGTCGGTCGAGATCGTAAGTGGGTGCAGAATTTTCAAGCCTTATGGCCTTACTGAGGTCACCTCATGCTCCAGGATATTGTTGAGAGTTTTAAGGAAATCGAAGCGTCATCTGCAACAACAAAAAATAAAGAGGGGAAAAAAAACCACACCATTTTTGGGGCCAGCTCCATACCAGAAACCGGAGTCACTTTTTTGGGGGGGAGGGCCTAACCTCAGGAAGTAATAATAATCGTTGGTTGCAACTTGGTGATATCTATGTGACCTTATGATTCATACCTTTTAGTTCTAAATCACCGTAAGCTTACTGCAAGCTTTTAACACAGGTGGCATCAATTGTGGCTTTATAATTGGCTGCCTGTTATTGGACATTGAGTAGAGATCCAAGCCACTTAAACCAAGGCATATGATTGGCTGAGGTCTTCAACTTGATGAATATGCAATAAGCATTCCCATCACGTATGTATAAGAAGCCACGTATCATACTACACATGTGTAGTTCACTTTCAATCAGTACTGTAGGCTGGTTCATTTCTTGTTTCCATTGCCAGCAGCTTTGATTTTGAACTTTCTAATCTGCTTTAGGTTAGATAGCAGTACATGATAGAGATGAATAATGATTTCCGTTAATCTAATATTGTGGCTACTCAGTTGACAAGTGAGTTGGAGTTTCTACTGGATGACACTCCTGAGAAGGAACTGAGTGAGTCTCAAGCTGCCAGATATAGGGAGACTATCAATGAGCTGCAGAATCTACTGAGCAGCAAGATAGATGCGGCTACTGTGCTGCTTCTCAAGGTCAGTTGCAAATGTACTAATTATAAGCAGCATTCGCAAGCTGAATAAAGCAAACACTAGACAACAGTATGCAATCATTGGTGTGAGGGACAAGGTCATTGCAGTCACGCACTTGCCTCCTTTTCAAAACTGCAGTTTATATTACCATGTTGGGTCTGTCGACACTTTGCATTGAACTGAGTGTTTTTAAACATTTTACCAAGACGATGGTAAAAACGAAATGGGTAAAATCTTACCACTGTCCGTACTTGGACTTTTGACTTGGGAAACCGCATTTGGCATAAACTTGTGTCTGCTCGATCAACCGTCCTACCGGTCTTTTCTTGATTGTCGTAATGTATGACATAATAGAATATTGCTAGCAAATTTTATCAGTGAATAACACCATGTTACGGAGAACACTAAAATGTTTAAATGTGTCATTAATGCATGTATCTACGGTGACTTTCATAAAAAAAATTAACACAAAATTGAGTGCAGTATGTGAAGATAATGATAAGCCTAAAAAATCATGCACAGTGCGTGCACAGTGCGTCTGTAAGGGAACGTCTCAAAAGTCGAAACATTTCCGTTCCGTATGGAACGTTCCTTTTAGCAATACTGTTTGTTCCCAGCGTGTTCCCAACTGGAACAGGCCGTTCCCAAGTAAGTGTGCACGCTCATGGACCAAGGTTCCCACGCTGGAACACCTGGTGTTCTTGGGCTGTTCCCAGTGGGAACAACGCATGTTTCCATATGGAACAGGCAAAGTTCCCCGGTGGAACGTTCCAAGTGTTCCGACTTTTGAGACGTTCCCTATGTGTGACCTGCACGCACTGTTGGGAGTACAGCTTTCCCTTGCCGTTTACTGATGCGCACTGTCTGCACTGGACTTTGCATCTCGGGAAAAGTAACCAGGTCACTTTTGCTGGGCAAAACTTAACCGATGAAAGTAACCGCTGGACTTGGGAAAAGTAACCAAGAGAGACTTTCTGGGCTCTTTGCACTGAGCTTAAATGGCAAAAGTACCCATTGTCTCAGTGAGCTTTACAAGAAAAGTCCAATGCAGACGCGGCTTGTTCATACAATGTACTTCAAACAAATTTAAGTGCAAAGCAAATTTGTTTGGGCAACGACAAACATCACAATTGTTGACATCATGAAATTCGCTTCTGCTTTCACTTGAAGTGTGATCAGTCTTTACCATGTTTACATTGAAAGTGCCAAAAAGCTCCAATATGTGCGTTGGTCATTAAAGGGTTGTATACAGCCACTTTGCTTTATTCCTAAGCTGTTAGTGTTTCTGCTCTACCAAACAAAAAGACAACTGTCTAGAAATGCAGTAGATCAAGAGTCGTCCTAGAGAAAAGAATGACAAACTTATAATGATGGTTACTTGCAAGGACAATCTAGAGACCTATGCTGCAATTGATGATTTGTTAACTTGAACTGCACACTCTCTAGAACAAATATTGAACAAGTACATCGTAGATTAGCCTCAAACAAAGACTGTAAGAAATGAATCAGGGAAGTATGCAGATTTCTCTGATGGTTCAGAAGTGAAACTGCATCGGGACACATTCAGCCATGGGAACTTTCCAATATCCGGCCATACGTTTTCTTCTGACAGGACCGGACATTGGTGATTTAACAATTTGGGTATTTTCTCACGCAGTAACCTTTAGAAAGTCAAAGTACTTTGGAAAAATCTGTCTTCACTTGAAACAAGTTGCTTAGTTTTGTTAAGGAAATTAGTGAATTATGTTGCATAGAGCCCAGCCCTATCTGTACCCGGAAGGGTGTCCCTATGGAGCCCACTAAAAGAGGTCACAAAGTACAGCAAGATGCGTAATCATGCATTAGGACATCAGGGCTCGTAGGATGGACAGATCACTGATGCTTGCTGTAGCACTAAGCCATCCATGTACATGTCATGATGGAACACTGTATGGGTACACGCAGTCATGCTGAGAGGATCTCAGCCCTTGCACTTCATCAAGTTAGTTCCATATTGGAATCAGTCAATAAGTATTCATAACTTAGACCACTACATCCATGCCTTTGGCTTCGTTGAGCTTCACCACTTTGCATTAGAATCTGTATACATGATCAGGCAAATTAGAGCTGTCTTGTTGGTCAGGCGGCCAATATTGCTCCTTCTTCCTTCCCTTCCCTAGTTAGTACTGGCATATGGACATTCGTGTGACATGGAACCAATGTTCAGATGCCCGTACTGTCTGGTGTTGGGTATGCTCACACTGCTAAGCTTTGCTTCACTTCTCTCAGTTCAAGCTCATCTGCTGGTCACTCTGTGCTGCTTGGGATTCACTGGTCTACACATCTTCTCTCCGGTGTTTGGGATCTTTTTAATGTATTGGAAGTGGCTTTGTATCTGCTCCTCATGCAATGTGTAGTGTTTTTGTACAGGGTTAAAAATAATTTTTGGGGTCTGATGTGTTATATTGAGCTTTTGTAATAGTTTAAGCAGAGGTTTATGGAATGCTCATTAAAACTGTGGATGGAGAAACCATTCAAACGCAATGGCTTGCTTTCATTGATTTATTGAAAAGCGCCATGAAAAAAACTTTTCAAAAAGGGTGGGAGGCAGTGAAGTAGTTTAAGATTTTAAAATTTTCACTGGTGTTTTAAAACATTATTGAATAATGATTTATGTAAAAAAAAACACAACGAGAATATAAATATTTGTAAATGAATAAAATGTGATATGACATAATATGCAAATGATTTTGTTGCAGGCTGCATCTAGTTTGGCTGATACTGAGTCAGGAAACCTTCAATTGGTGAAGGGCAGTCCTGACTTCACGGTCATGCTATGGGGAAATCTCACCAAGAATCCACGGTAGGATATCACAGGGCTTACAATTGCATTTATTTGTGTTTCAAATGGTTAAATGAAGAACGACTTTATGACACTTTACCAACAAACAGTTGTGATTTGAAAGTTTCCAAAGTCCCTGACCAAGTAATTAGATCTTGTGCTACATGTATTCAAGCTAATGTATCACCTAACTTATTCCTGTTTCTCGCACAAAGAAACGACTGCCCACATATTCACAATTTGTCTGTGTTTTTTGTCCCTATAGCTTTAAATCTTTTGAGTTTGAAGAAGAAAAGTTCATCTTTGAGTTGCCCAAGCAGTTAGCTCTGTCAGACATTGCTATCCGTGTCGTCCGCACACAATATGACCACTACTCACATCTGTGTAGAACCTTCCATGCAAAGAAAAAGAAGAAACCAGTCACTGTCATGGAGACAGTTGCCCAGGAGATGGAAGACAAAGAAGACAAACCAGAAGAAGCTGACAAGACTGAGGAGGAACAAGGGCAGATAAACTCGGAAGAAAAACAGGTCAGAATAATGGACAAGATGAGCTTTGTTTAGACATTGATACATTGTATCAGCTCAACTGCATCTCCTGATGTAAGCCTTTCATGCTGTACTGACACCTGGACTACATGTTTTGTCATTGATATCAGTAAATCGTTTGATTTTGATAGCTGTTGATATTTTGGTATGACAAGTGCCATGCGTAGTGCTTAATGGCCAATTTGCTGGCAATGTCAATGATAAAAATTGTTTACCTCAGCACAAATCTCTATGTCTGAAGGCAAACTTGTTTGAATAGAAGTGTACACTGTGTGATTGCATTGTACAGGAAGGAGATGTTGAGAAGGCAGAGGATGAAGATGGAGGCAATGTTGAAACAGATGAACAGAAACCACCAACACCATCCAAGACACCACAACAAACACAACCTGTACAAGCAGGTAGGTGCTTGAATTGACACTACTCTTGAAGTCTTGTCACAACCACGTGTGTAGACACGGTCCTACACTGGATGTGCGTGCATTTTGTTCCCTTAATGCAGCTGCTTGTGATCCCCGTCAAGCGCCGTCAAGCGCCGTCAAGCGCTAGTAAGCGCTGTCAAGCGCTGTCAAGGGCTGTCAAGCGCCGTTCAGCGCTGTCAAGCCCCGTCAAGCCCCGTCAAGCGCTATCAAGCCCTGTCAAGCGCTGTCAAGCTGCAGTGGCGATTATGGGCACTATAAAGAAGATGAATCAAATCTAGTCTTGGAAACTTTGGTGCTGTAATATCTCAAGCGCACACATTAGCTTGAATGCAGCGCATGTGAGATGTGCTTGGATTTCTTTGGTCTGAGTGCCAAAGTTCCCAAGGTGGCTTGATGGTGCTTGCCCGGGGATTGGGACCAGCTGCGTCAAGTGAACAAAGACCAAGATGTGTGAGACTATTGTCATGCCTGTGTTTTGCTATCAGATGCTGAGGAGGTGGAGGACGAAGATGAGGTAGAGGAAGAGTATGATCAAGAAGATGAGGATACCGTGGATCTACGAGCGTATCAAGTCCTAGGAGGAGTCATTCATCTAGATCTCTTGTCTTTGCCTCCACAACCCAAGCAAGTCAAGTCATGGGTTATGACTCAAGGTCAGAATTGGTATTTTTTTGCTAATGCGTGTCAATAAGCACATGTTGATGTGAGAACAATTATTTAGAATCCAAAATATGTTTCTTATGCTTTGTAGCACAAGGATGACATAATTATTTACATTACTCCTGAGATAGATGTTGAAGTGACTGACTTATGTGGGCATTGTTACATCTGAATTAGTGATGTTGACATATCTGTTAGATATAGCATGTCAGTGCAGTAATATTACTCCCACAGGGTCCACCATAAGGGTAGGGAGTAGCGGGTTCTCCTGGTATCACATCTACAACTTTTACAGCATAGATAGCTAACAAAAAGTGGGCATTGTTTGATAAAGTATCAACAAACTTGTGTGTTTTTCCAGTACCTGAAAGAACAAGTTATTGGTACTGTGTGAGGTATTAGTAATACTTTGGCAAATTGTTGCAGTGCAAGGCCATGACCGTGGGTTGCACTCATCAGCCTTGCGTTGTCACAATGCACAGGAAATCAAGATGCACTTTTAATCTCTCTCATGTCCAACAGGTGTCAGGATGACAAGTTGTAATCAAGTTGAACACTTTCCAACACGCACTAATTTAAGAACAATTGTGTCAATTTGTCAGTTTGCTGTTTTTTTTATTATTATGTATTGCACGCTTGAGGCCGGTGCTTTGGCATGATATACATGCACCTTCAGCAAAAGATCTTTGCTGAAATTCAAATCCTGGCCAAATACTTTGTATTTGTCTTTTTCAAGTCTCTTGTTGTAAGACTGTTGTTTTAACAAGAACATTGACAAAATTGGGAACCGCTAATATAGGGCTGGATAGTTCAGTTGGTAGAGCGCTGCTATGACAAATTGGGAGGTCACTGGTTCAAATCTCGCTCCAGTCAATTCCTTTGTTCAACTTTGTAATGATTGCTTTTGTTTTAGTGGTCAGAACGGTATTGAACAGTTCCACCTTTGTGACAGAAGGAAATGTCTAATGTAGTAAGCTACGCTTCATTGTTCCTGGATTTCTGCTGGAAATGAACTTAATGAATTGTGCACTGTGAGATGAATGCTGTGACTGATTGTAGAGTTGATATTTACGGAGTGTTAATCCCAAATAGAGTAGTTCCTGTGTGACATGATGCAATCTGACTGCAAAGGTCTCAGCATGACTTGGCAGGATCCTGCTTGATGGATGCTTGAGTGAGACTGTAACTGCAGTCCAGATAGTGCTAGCATCCCATGGGTGTTTATTGCGTGATATGGCATTGTGACAAACTCTCCTTGGTGGATGACAGTGTCATGAGAGTAATGTGGAGTCATTGTTGCAGCTGTTCTTGCCAATAGCTGCTCAATTATCAGGCCACTTAGCCACTTCCTCTGCAGTTGACTCATCTGCAGCCTTACTCTCTGAACGCTCATATTCCAAGGTTGTCTTGGCGTCCAATCAAGTGGCCTACAATTTAATACCTGGATCCTTTCATTTGACGGACAGGAAAAGTGAAATTTCATGGCCTTGGGTATTACTGGCATGTGATTGGCTAATTTGAATTCAATATCATGTGTAGCCAATTGTATTGGATGTTATTAAGGGCAACAATTCCTGTACATTATATGTTGATTTCTGTTCAGTGACTGTCATGCTGGTCTATCATGCTACATGTAGTCAAATGATTGGACATTTTGTGCGACCAATACGTCTGATTTGTGCGACTTGATTCAAGACGTCAATCTACAACTGATCAAATCTTGGCATGGGGAAAACACACACACAGCAATGATATTTGCAGTAGTGGGAGTGGGTGGATTCCACCCTAGCCTTTTTAGGTTAGCTTTGAAAAGCCTTACATTGTACCCTGGTATGTAGCATTTTCATTAACCCTAACCGAACTCAACCCATCAAAGTTCAACAGCAGGTTTTGCTTAAATCTGTTGGCATAGGTACAGTTCCCCTAAACTGATGGTCTTTTACACTGCGGTTGGCATACCTCCAGAAACTAAGTCCAACAGTGTGTGTACGATTTCCCATGTGGGTGTTGGAATTTGCCAGAATGGGTATGGTTCCTAGTAAATTAGGCTGGGGAGTTAGGGTTTAGTTTGTAATTGGTCAACATTGTTTATTTACTACTGTGAGTTTAATCGACGTAAAATCCATAGGTAATTGTGTTTCCAGAACCCTCCACAATTCACAACTGTGCAGGAAGTAAATGCTGAATTATTTGCGAGTAACTTTCAAGAGCCATGAAGTGTCCACCTTCCTCAATCCTAAAAACTATTGAGGTGGAGGATATTTTGTTGATATATTCTGGGCACAATATCATGAAGGTACTAAGCACATTTGCTAAGCGTGGAGTATATTTGTAGGTTGATGCTTACTTTGTGTTGCTGATTGACATTGACAGTATCTGGTAATGAGCTGAAGAGAGTAGCCTACCCAGCAGGAGATAACCGTCTGGGTCAGACTCTATCAGGTACCATGACTATGGGACAGACGTTGGATCCTAAGGCATTAGCTAGTGCTGCGGCAGCTACGGAAGCATTAGGTGCTCCACCTGTAGGCATCAGCTTCAGGTAAGTCTACAGTGCTATCATGTCACACTCACAGTCCTGTGAAGAGAATGAATAGATAGCAAGTGCATGCATGACTCTCTTTGCTTTGTGTCATGAGCCCTTCTGGTGTTTAGAATTCAGTTTTGTATTGAATACTGTAATTTCATTTGTCATGTGTCAAATTTATAAAAGCATATATGTTGACCTAGCACTAATACTTCATATGCTACTACTTTGTCAAAGAAGTGTATTACATGGATGAATCATCATGGAGGTTTAGCCTGTTTGATTTGAATATCCCCTTTGTGACAATACATTTTAACTCAACGTTTGCGTGCCATAATGATCATAAGTGTTCCTTGATTACGGTACTTTTCCCAATCCATCAAAATCCATTCCCCCATTTTGGGGATTTTGGTAGGCAAGCCATGAGTACCAAGTCCATCAAAATCCACCTATAGTAGTGCTGGTCTTGTGGTGGATTTCAGCGGATTTGGTTCTAAAGCATTATGTGAAGCAGGGTCAGTGATGGATTTTGGCAGACTTGGTCCAGTAGGGAGTTAGTTTTCAAGTTAGGAATTGTCGAGTGATGCAATGTTTGAGATGTTCTTTCCTTTTAGCTCATTCAGGTTGCGTGGCACCCTGGGCAAAACCTTGGCTGTGTCTAGATGTGGTGGTGTTGGTTTACGCATTCAAAGTATCAAGCAAAAATTACTACTTGTTTGAGTGAATATTGAGTATATTTGTTCAATCCTATCAGGTTACGTGATGATGTATTGTACAGTGAGGAGCCTCAGATGGCCTACTGGTGCCCTGACAGGAAGCAGTGGCGATTAGATGGATTCATTGATATCAAGTTCAATGAGGGTAAGATGTCCCAACCTATACTGGGTTCTTTCTTTGTATATATTCTGCAACTTCGTCCGACTGGATGAAATGGATTAAAACCTTACAAATGTGGAACTGCTGAAATGAAACATGACAAGTCAGTCACCCCAAACTTGTTTGACTTTTACTTTTGTTTGTTGACCTTTTGTTTTGTCCTTCATCTTGAGAGTGTTTTACGCTGTGAAGTCACAATCCAACAAAGCTGTAGAAAGTGCCAGATCTCATGAGTCGGCAGGATACTTGATTTTGGTTTGGGAAGAAAATTTTGCTTCCAGAGATTCAAATGTTACACATTTTCAGAAAGGCGCTGTGTGTCGATAAGTTGACATTTATTGAACTGTTACAAAATCAAATACTTATTCAGTGTTGGCCTTAAATTACACATGTTAGATTTTAAAAATCTGTTTACATTATTTTGGATGCATAAGAGAAAAGATAACTATCAGCAAGGTAGCACATTGACATGTTTCAATGCATTATCTCTGAGTTAACGCATGTAGCACTGTCAGTAGTTCTGACTTGGATTCAAGTCTGAATTGCATCATCACGTTTCATGACTCACACTCAACTGAAATCATAAGTATTGATGACTTGGGACGCATTCTTCTGTGAAAAGGATGATGTCATGGTGACTCACAAGTCACAATGGTATTTAAGCTAATAATGTCTGTTCCTACATACTTAAAGAAATTGAGATTTGCTAGATTTTGTTTCCAAGATTTGCTTGGTCTTAATTGCTATGCATATGATGCACCCTAATGTAAACATAATGAATCTCCTGTCCATAAAACCTTTGCACTCCCCAATTTCTTGCAAAACATTGTTCAACGATGAAAAATATGAAACGAGTATACAAGCAGTTATATCTATACATTTTATAAAACTTCTAAAGTTAAACATTTGTTAGTTTTGTTTATCATGTGATAACATGTGACAGTGATCCTCTTCACACTGAATCTTTTCTTGATCCTTTTGTGTGGATATTCCATGTGAATTGATTGGATTAGTTTGTGTTGTTTATGTGTGGTCATCACGTTTCTGTGATTCTGATTAGAAACACGGATTCTGTCCTTCAAGACCATCAACTTTGGGCCTCTAGCCTGTCTGCAGGATAAGCACATCAATATGCCATTCCAATCCTGGGAGCTACGTCCTGTAGCTGAGAACCATGCTAGATTTACTGTCATGGCAGCTATTATTGAAGCAGAGATTGAGATCAAGGTAGGATTCAATAGTACACACATCTTCAACAAATTAAACAAGAAGGATGTAAGGCCAAAAAAAAAAAATATTCGGTCTCTGGTCAGACCAAAGTTCTGAAATTGAAGCGGCCACGCGGCTTTTTTTTTTTTTTCTTCAAGCTTGGATTGTACAGACAAGGTGGGTACTATTTTGCTTTTTTGGTGTCCTCATGTACATTGGTGTCCTCCATAATTTGCCTTGGTGCTTTCGATCATTTGCCTTGGTGCAATTTCCCATTCCTGGGTGCTCTTTGGTAAAAAAAAATTGAGGAGGTGCGGAAATAGAGGGCGCTGTTGGAGCTACCGCGGAACATTTTGGGAAAAAAAAAGATTGACGCACATGATTAAAATCAACGCGCGCGCTTACCAGAGACCGACTTTTTTTTTTTTTTGGCCTAATATAGAGGATTTATGGCTGTCAGTAGGCTGGGAACATCATGTAGTTCTATATTGGAATGAAGTCACTGTGTCTGTACATTTCTAAGTTCTATTTAAAGTCAAAGAACTGTCATGCAGTATGCAGATCTACTTTTGGGGGTTTGAATTGTTAACACTTGTTTTCAAATTTTGTGACGCCTATTGCTGTGATTTCATGTGATGTACAGGGTGTATGCAAAAAAAGGAAACCTAGATATAAATGTAAATTATAAATAATACTGTATTATAATAAATATATTCAAATAAGTTAAGATCATGTGAAACACTGATGTGTCCTCTTTCCAATGATGCCTTGATTGTTCATCTGTGGCCATGGATGACTGAGCAATCATTATTCTGTCAATGGTTTTGACCCTTGACAGAATAACAATGAATGCTCAGTCATCCATGGCCACAGACGAACAATCAAGGCATCATCGGAAAGAGGACACGTTAGCGTTTCACATGATCTCTAACTTATTTGAAAATATTTATGAGATTATTTATAACTTACATTTACATCTTGGTTTTCTTTTTTTGATACACCCGGTATAGATGATCATGATTGCGTTAAGATAATGACATAAGTTATGAGATTGTGATGAGTAGTTGATGATGTGTCCATGCTGATTGTCCATGTGATTGCAGGGATCGCTGTGTTGCTTCCGACAGACACCTGACAGTGAGACCAAGCCAGAACTCAGTGACCTGAAGGAGAAATGGATGACACCGAAACAACTCATCCAGGTAATGTACAGCAATTCAATAGGCAACCGCTGTCATCAAAGATAAACTCACTCAACCTCATCACAATGTGGTTTTGATGGTTCATTGTTCACTTGTGTTATTTTGTTGATTACCAGTATTGTACCAAAAGCCAACATATCTGCTCCATCCTGAAATACCCTCTACCTTCTGAGGATATTGGAGTCATATTTTGGACAAAACTATTGTTGGCACTATTGATTGTCTTTATCAATAGATATAAATTGCCATCATGTGTCAGACTATAAATAAGACATCAACCATTTAGGTAAAGTTGCAACAGATTTGTGCACTTCGTGAGTTGAGTAATAACAAAGAAACATTTACCATATGGCCACAATCCTGCTAAACCCTCCGTTATTTCTTGAATGTGGTCCTTGGAGGGGTGACCACTGCCTCAATCCTGCAAAATTCTCCGGCAGACACTGTCAATATGTTGAGGCAGAGCCAGTGACATCCTGGAGCAATGGAGGATTTCAAGTGTAATCACGGCCTAAATTATGCACGGCTGAGCATAAACAACACAAGGTCCAGCATAACACTTTTGCCATATAGCCTTAATCCTGCAAAATCCTCCATTTTGCAAAGAGGATTTTGGAAGATTTGGGAATGTTAAGGTTCATTCCTGCACCAAGATGGTCGCAATTGCGTGATGCTTGTTACCTATAGTTCATACACTGTATATGTTTGTATTGTAGGCCATGAAGACTGCTGGTGTGAATCTGTTTCCTGAGAACGATTCTAAGAAGTATGTCAGCATTGTTGAGAAGGTAATAGTCACACAGTAGCAACTAGGCAAACAGCAAGTGACAAAGTGCTGTTCTATGCAGATAGTCTTTGTACAAATTTCTCTCTGTACTATGTTTCTGTTAGAGAGTTCTACTTTGATAAGAAAATGAGCAAGGAACCGTGAAGACATTCCACATGAAAGGAATTCAGAGGGGGAATGTACTTTGGTTTATTCTGTCAAAAAATAACTAGAATGTTGGCTTTCTGTCTGAATTTGCATGCGAGTGGGCAGGTGAAGGCTGTGTGATTTGATACTGAGTCAGCTATTCTTGATGGTTGTATGTTATAGAATACAGTGATTGAAGACGCTATCTACCAGCAGATGGCACTAGCTGCTTCTCATTTTGCATTTGCTTGGAGTAAGTGGAATTCAGATGCTGGAGCAGAGAAAGTCATCCTTCAAGGAACTCAGAAATTGCTGGATGAGGCTCCTCATGATGTAAGTGCTTATCTTTGACAACAACTTACAAACTCACATTCAAGGCGCAATGTTTTTGACCCTTTACTTCGTATAAATAGTGATCATTGAGCTAAGTACATCATTTGTATTGTCTAATCATACATGTGTATACCAATCATACTAAGGTCATGTTCCCATTTGATTATGCTAGTGCTGGGTCAGGTCCGACAATAATGCTCAGATGATCAAAGACCATACAGGGTATAAAAATGTCATGTCATATTAATACTATTTTTTTTGAGGGGGCTGTGATCCTACAATGGCTGGCTGATCAAATGGGAACATGCCCAAAGGTTGTAACTAGGAGCAAGTTGGGGTGAGAACTATAGTTCACCATAGTTCAGCTAAATTCGCTGCAATGAAGGATGGTTGGACTACTTTAGTCAACTATTTGGAACTTGAGCCTGGGGCACGGTTGCATTGCTGGTTACCAATAGCCGCAGGCATCGTAAAGCACAACGGGAAGCCAGGACTTTTGACCATCGTTTGACAATATGTATTCGCATGTTGCTATTATATTAGTGCGCAGACGTAAGTTAGGTCATAAATCAAGCACTAGTCAACTAATGGTCCTTGCCTCAACTTGCTCTATGATGCAAAAATAAATTATGGCTTATGCATAGCAAATGCTGATGACCTACTAATCAACCTTGTCTGACCACTAACCGCTAATTTCATGTTGCTTAATGTTGGTTAACCCTTGTGCTGAGGTAGAGTGGACATCCGTGTCATAGTGACTGTATCCTTGTACCAACAAACAGTATGCATACCTTCATGTAAGGTAGCCGCTAGATGTAGACTAAACAGCTCAATGTGCTGCCTGTTTCTCAATCTGCAGAATGTCACAGTAGGAAGAGTAACTGTGATTGGTAGCTGTGATCATTGTATCTAATGTTGTTGCTTGGACGTTGCTTTAATCCTTTAATGCTTGCTTTTTGTTACTGCAATAAAGAACGTTGAGGATGAAGAAAAGGTATAGAGCATGCTACATGTTACTTCAGGACAACTGCAAACCATCAAACACAAAAACATGAAAAAGTACACATGATTGTACACATGATTGATTTTTTACAGATTAATCATCCTATTTTTTGTTATGGTTTCAATTGATCAAACAACTGATTTGTTTTGTGCATATAGTGCTGATAGCAGAAGTCTCTAAAACCGAAACATTCTCTGACCTTTGATAGCATTGGTCATGGCATTCTTTTCATGTACATCTGTCTTTGTGTAGGTCCAGCTTCATTTTCAAAGAGTTTTGTGCATAAAACTTATGGTTTTTTTTTCTTAAATTATTTTTGGGTTCATGCTCTTGTGTTTGCATTTTTCAACAAGTGTGTTTTATTTTAACTGAAAGATGTACCCACTGACCAAAATAGGATCAATGAATGAAATAACCATATAATCTTCATGAAAATCAGTTGAGATGGCCAACTTGTGGTGTACATGTAGTTGATGGTTTGCAGTATCCTGATCTAGACACTACTGAATGTGATTGCACCTATCACCTTGTGAGCACAGTGTGGTATATATCAGCACATAGCATCTACATCTAGATACAGTCATACATCCAGGTTATCTCCGGGTTAAGTTCATCTTGGAGAAACATACGATAGTAGACTTCTCATTAGGGCTGACACTTTGACTCAATTTGTGTGCTTCATATAATTGGAGCATTGGGTAGTACCTGCAGTAGTGAGTGGTGACATGTCTTCCATGTTTAACCCTTTGCCTAAGCTAAGGCATATGGGTTGGCATAGGACTCATTGGAGACATCAGCCAATGTATTTGCTTGATTAGTGTTTTTTGTTGGTTAAATTGATTCTGTCTTCCAAAGTCTAATGAAAACATTGACTAAGAGATAGGAGAAATGTGGCATCAGTTGTCCACAGTTCTGAGTGTACTGAAGATCTGTGGTTGTCGGCCTTCTTGAATGAACTCAAACAGTACCCTCTAGTGCCCCAAGATAATTGCTACACTTGGATGTCATGTACAATAAATCCATGTTCCCTGAAAAATATTGTTATAATATTGATACCAAAGAAATGCATGACCGTGATTGTTCAATATGTATAAGCACATGCTGAATCTTTAGATGTGGAAAGTGTTGCAAATTTCCTATCATTTCAAGCATTGAAGGCTTGCAGTAAAGGCATCTGACTGTGACTGCTATACCAATCCTTCAAGCATTAACATTAGTACATGTCTGTCAGTCCTGCACACACCTGCAGATATCAGTGTAGCATTTGTCTATGACTCTCTTTGAGAACAGGAATCAGCCTAATTGCCAATAGTGTCATGAATTGATTTATCACCTTCAACACCTCAAAGCTTGATCGTGCGTGATAATCATATCCGAACACAGGCTCTGCTGGAATGCTAGGATTTCACTGTTTTTATAGTAAACATGAGTCAGATGTCTCTTAACTATCTTTTTAGAATTTGAAAAGAGAAGATGTCATTTCATTGACCTTGGTGGGCATATGTGAATGGTTAACATTGTTGCAGTTTCATCAGGTCTGGACAATCTCATTGCTGAAAATGCATAGAAAATGTGCACAGCTGAAGAAATTCACTGTCTAACTTACATCGTACATGCAGTTTATATTGGGCATAGATCTTACAAAGATTCATTGGACAAATATGATATGTCTTACTAAATTTTATAAGGAAAATTCATTGAAAAAAGTTACTGATTAGATCACATGATGTGTGGCTGTTACCTTTTCAGGGAGTAGTAGTGTTAGAATTTAGCCAGTTTGTGAGTGTCATTATGTACATGTATGTCATTGAAGTGACTGCAGCTGTGATTGTTGCTGGCCATGCTTTGCTGTGTCTGTATATATTAATGCTTTGCTTGTTATGTCTGCAATCTGCTAACTGTTCCTTTTTTACTTGTTGCTTTACATGGTTGTACCTGCAAATAGAAAAAGGTAGGATCACAGTAATCTGCTTAATGTCATACTAACACATTGTCCACTATCACATTCATCTGCTAGTCTCAGCCAGTCCGTGTTACATACTGGTATGTGTATTGGCTCATACACTCACAAAGACTCATGAACCACTCTGAGCACGCAGGCATTGCACATTCACGGAGGCCCCCTTCAATGGAGTCCAATTGTGTAAAGCAACACTAGCTGGCATAATACCTTCATCATTGAAGGGGGCCTCTATGCTGGGAAGGTCTATGTAGCTTGTAGAGTATTGGGTTGTGGTGTGTATGCACTGCCCTGCACCATTGATACGTGTACCTGTAGTCCTTAGGCTTGACTGATACTAGGTGCAACCCGTCATTGATTGCTTGATGCTGTATGTGATCTGAACCAACAAGCTGACCTTGCAACAGCTTGCTTGTAAAACGTGTGCATTTTTCGCTCATGAGCTCCTGGTCAATACTGAGTATGCAGCAGATGAAGGGCAAAACCTAATAAGAGTTCCACCTCCCTCACACAACTTCATCCAAATTCACTTCATTGTATTTCGTCTATGCACCTGTTCATATCATGTGTGCAATCTATAGCCAGTGGCAGCGTGTTTGCAGTGTTACATTATAAAGTAACAGCAATAGCAAAACAACGGTGTTTTTTTAAAAATAAGAAAACTGTTAATCATCCCAACATTTGGCAAACTGTTTTTGCAGGTCTTCCTTTCAAACTGTTAATGGCCACCAGTTTTTTTGTATGCTAACCTGTCAAGAGTTCTGTACGGTTCATGAAGCAGTGTTGTCATCTTGCTCCTCATGTGGGAGTGTACATGTACTATTAGTTATCCCAGGAGTGCGAGTGCAACACGGAATATTGTAGTGTGTCTGAGTCCCACAGCCTTCGGCCTCGTGGCATGTGGGACGCAGATGCACTACATTTTCCGTGTTCCACGAGCGCACGAGTGGGACAACAAAGTTATCTTCAAGCAAACTTGACGCACAGTACAGATTGAACACGCACGCTGTACACAAACTTTTCATTGGTTATCCTAGTACACGTGCGTGTTTTACGGAATGGCGCATGCATCTTAGGATAGCGCAATATGCAGAGTGCGGTATGGATTGTGGCCATGCGACATGGTTATATGTAGCACGGCTTGTTGCCATGGATCGACCAATCAGGATCGAGGATTCAAGGGTTCAGTTATTACATTCATTCAGTACATCTTATCTGGTTGCTGTGGGTCATCTCTCTAATATCTGTTCAAACAAACACGTGTGTGCATGGTTTCATGAGTGCATTACATTACTTTGACTACTTGTGAATATGAATTGAAAGGTAGAACTCAATAATTGGTAATGAGGTAGCAGTCAGGAAGCATCATGTCAGTGTGGCCTTGTGGTATACTCATTGCACTGCGTGCTGTCAATCTATCGTTGTCTACATGACCCGGAAAACAGACCAAAACGTGTGCTCATAGTCCTATGAATGTATGTCTGTCATTGTATTATTACTAAAAGGACTTTCGGTTCTCATACCCAAACCTTTATATGTTTAAATCTTGGGGTGAGTTGGCAAAGAATCTCATCTCCTTAAAAAACAAAAATTACACCACTCTGTAAATAATAAAAGTGTGTATTCATAAAGGGTACGTACATGTATCCACCAATATTGGTGCTCAAGGTGCTACATCATTATTACTTGGGGGATCCGTATTAAGCTCCATGCTGCCATTTTGGCGCAAAGCAGACAAAATAAAAAAAAATTCACTTGGAGAAGCTATTCCAGCATGTAGTCTAACCACGACACATGTACCTTTGTAGTCATGGTATGGAATCATTGATTGTAATGAATGCTGGTTATTGGTTTGTTTGATTCTAGGATGAATGGTCTTTACTGATGGTTAGTAAACAACGAACCATGAAGCTACGAATCACTGAATATGATGAGGAGTTCTCCGAGGACTATGCAGATGGAGCACAGGTAAAAATAACAATAAAGTCATGTGGTTTGTCTGTATTGTTTGTTTGTTAACATCTACGAGTAAATGAATGGATCTTTTTTGTAATTGGTTCAGGTGTCATTATGCACTATTTGAAACATGAGAAAGCAGAGTAATCATCAATCACCTGATAAAGCCCAGACACTCTGACTGGGTAGAAAGTGGGCCTTAGTGTTGTAGATTCTATTGCGACTTAACTACAGAGGGACAATTCCATGGTAACTCATGTTACTTTTAGATAGGGTCTTCAGTCGACTCAGTGCTGTTATTCCACAAAGTCAAAGCATTGAGGTTGGATTTTACTCACAGAAGACCTTTGATACTTAGTGACTAAACAACCAAAACATTGGGCTAACAAAATAAACTTCTTCTGTTTGTAAACTCAAGTTACAAGAAAGGACATGGCAGAAATTTAGATTTGAAAGTTTCCCTAAACTGTGGACTCATCAAAAATTTTTTTAGTGCCCTTACATCAGTTGAGTTTAAGTCATTTGCTACCATAACAATTATTAAAAACAATCATAAAATCTGTAGAGGGATATATTTGGGTAACTCGCGTTACGGTAACTCACGTTACAATTTGACCACCCATCTTTGGTACAAGTAAAAACATATAGGAAACTATTTAACAAAAAAGTCTTTTGGCATCATATCTGAACCTTTCTCTCTGTCTTAAAAATAAATAAACATTTTACAGCTTTCATTGTCTTCATACATTTCTTTTGTCCCCTCATTTGATGATAGTCCATGACTTGCCAAGTATGTCATGTGAAGGCTGATACTATGGATCATAATGTATTGTGGAAGCAAACAAACCTTGCCCCACTGATGGTGCGATCACAAATATTTACTTTGCAGAATATAATCAGGGTATTGAATGGCACTAAAGTTCAGATAGGATGATCGCTGTTTCTAAGTTAAAGGTAAAAAGTTATCAGGATTTGAATGCCATCACATTGCATAAACCGTGTTATCATGTGTTTGTCTTACAGTTCCATGCGGATCTGTATCACATGGTGTGTGAGTTATCTACAGAGGAGGGAATGGAGCGAATGCGCAGTACTGACTTCCGCTTTGTGGATGCTGTACATCAGTTACTCTCAGCTACCAGATTGTTAACTTACTCTTAATTTCTATTCATCATACCGACCTGACAAGATGTTAAAAAAGAACAAGAAAAATGACAGTTGGTGTTCTGAATCTGTGCATTTCTAAGTGAATTGACTTGAATTGCTTGGATATGTTACGTAGAACAGAAGGTTAACAGGAACATCTTTGTGTCATTTGCAAGTGATTCAGTTGTCTTTGACAGTTGATGATTACTGGGAGGCAGTTGTAGAGGTGATGGCAACATGTAACAGATCACTCAGTATTTTGTCCTCAAGCCATTTAACACTGTATTCATGACATTAAATGAGTGGTGCATATCCCTGGATGATTCAACAGGATGTTAGTCTCACCAAAAACAAGTTTTCCGAAATGTACTACTAGAATATAGTCTAGCATATGGAACAACTTGTTAGACATCTTAAAAAAAGCTAGACTGGCAATTTATATATACTTCTACGTTGTGTGATCCTGTTGCAAGATACTGCATCTGTGTCTTGTAAATATCGCATGTTCGGCGTGCGACCATCTCCTTACAATTTCATGTCTTTGATGAGTGTTCACATAAAATGGCGGTTACAAGACACAGTATTTTGCTAACAGAAATTCCAGGCAAAATGCATGTCTAGGTTTTTTTTGTAAAAGATATCTGTGGTATTATTATAACATGCCGTTGGGCATACCCATTGTGTATGTTGTCAGTATATACAGTCCAAACAGATTTGGATGTATATTTTGATATTCTTGAAGCAGGCATAATGCTTGACTAGCTATACTTAACACTGGTTGATCTTTTGTACCTTTTTTTGTTTGTTTTAACCATTTAATAAGAGTAATATACTAAGAGTAGTATCTTATTCGGTTGGATAACGTGGATGTGTTTGGAGTGACTTAAGTACAAACATTGGTTTGGGAAATGAGCAGCTTTGCAGTGTCACAAAAGTTGCACACTTTAATCGTCAAAAAAATCAGATTAACACTTGAAATTAGTTGAAACGAGTCGTCAAAGTGTGGAATAAATCTTTTTGCAAGAAAAAAAAGTAAAGAGAAGAGGTGGAACCAAGACTACCCTAGGTTGTTTTTCAATGTCTGAAGTATGGATTGTCCATAACGCCTTCAAGGCTTGTTACATCTTTGTTAGCACACTTGGACAAATGACCTATTTATAAAGACTGCACATGCACATAGTGGACTTCCAGATCATATTCCTTGTGTTAATACCAGGCTGATCAGGATATCACAGGAGCCAGTGGTCCGTGCCATAATTGACCTATTGCGGTAGAATCGCGTCAACGCTGGTGAAATATTGTCCAATTACACGATATACAAATGGACGCGGAATGCGAATCATCCGAGACAAACAAAACTTAGCGTACAAAAATTCCATAGGGTTGTCTAAGGGGCGTGGTTAACTTGCAAACGACGATAGGTCAGTACAGGTACCTGGGTATATGACTAAACATTAGTAAGTGGGTAAATAGTGGGCACATAGCAGACGTATTCTAAGCTCTGTTGTAAATTTGTAAGATTGTTTGTTATCAAATTGAATGATTTTGAAGGAATTTACATGTAATATCAAGGATAATTCAATTGGGTGTTGCCTTTCCAAGTAATTTAACTGTAAAGGGATCTGTAATTGTTTTTAAAAGGTGTCGTAGGTCGAGTCCTACCCAAGCCACAATCCCGGCCAAAATGGTTGGGACACTTCCTGAGCCTGCCACGGTCACCCGCTCCCCCGGTCAATGTTGTTCTCTCCAGCTGATGGAGCACACACCGCGCAATGAGAGACTAACATTGAACGGGGGTCGGGGGATTGGGGGCCCAGCGAGATTTGGCCAGGATTGCAGCTTCTGATGTCTTCATGCTGTTGAGTTTGGGTCATCTCTGAGCATGCAGAGTACACAAAACTTGCCGTGAAGGGTAAACTCCATATTAAAATTGAATCAGGTTTAAATCCAATAAATGTTTTTTTATTAAATGTTGAATACATTTGCAGTTCTCATTGCGTAATGAAGATTAAAGGGGTTTAAGATATAGATGTATGGAGTTTGTGATAAGATGATTGACTGGCCCCAGTGCCTTGGACTGCTTTGCACACATGTTGCATTTATCTCTGGCCCCAGTGCCTTGGACTGCTTTGCACACATGTTGCATTTATCTCTGGCCCCAGTGCCTTGGACTGCTTTGCACACATGTTGCATTTATCTCTGGCCCCAGTGCCTTGGACTGCTTTGCACACATGTTGCTTACATGATGTTTTGTCCAGTTTGATTGGGACATCCAGTACATTCCCATATGCCGTTGTGACAAGTAATTGCTTGCATGGATACAGTGCAGTGCAGTGCCGTGCAATCCTGAGGCATGCTCTGGTATAATTGTAACATTTGCAAAGTTTCAGAATTGAATAACATGCCGTTTTTATATTCTGCCATTTCAATAACCTTATGTTTAAACTGTGTGAAATGATGACATTTTAAATGTAGTTGCTTGTAAGATATTTATTTTTCTGAATGCTTTATAAGTCTATTGATGGGTACTTTTTAATCATTTGAGAGAATGTATTTACCTAGAAGCTAATGTGACTGTATATATAGATATATTGACTTGTGTTTGTTTGATACCTTGATTGATTTGCCGTCCAATTTTCATATCTATCACCTTGAATACAGAGTTCGAGTTATTTATATTTTGTTACAGCTGTGCATTTTTAATAAAGTTTGTTGAACTTTACATTTGCTTCCAGGGTTGGACTTTGTCTTTGACGTGGTATATACAAATACTGCCTAGCAGTGAGTTCAATAGTGCACGTGTAGGCACTCTGAGGGACTTTGACTGACTACAATAAGGTCCAACAAGAGATTGGCCTCAGGAAAATAATGGCCTCTCAGAGGTCTGAGAGGGCATGGATGTGCACAAGTGACCAAAAGTGCTGGTCAGTGTTTTATAACACAATTCATGTAGCGGCCTTTTTTCCTGTCATTGAGGATGACCTCTACAGGGCACTGTTCAAACATTATTCATCTTGGCATTTTACACAACACACAATAATTGATAGAGCTAGGCTTTCGATGCAAATTCATGTACGGTAGTAGCCTATATTAGTGAACCCCATGTGAAGGTCTTTACCAATCGGGACCGAGTCGGCAAGATTGTGTCCTTCCTGTGGTCAATGCCCTGCACGGTGGTCAATGCCCTGCACTGTGGTCAATGCATGCTTTTAAATATTCAATAGTCAACAATGATCAAATGCAAGATATTCATTCAGAGGTCCTTTTATTTATTTGTAATCACCTTGGTAGATAAAATACCCAAATTCTGGAATTATTGCAGTACTTCACAGTGTTACTGGGAGATGTCCTAGGACATTTAAGGAACAGGTTATACATGTGTTTATGGTTGCATGTTTCAAAATGATATATGTCCCCGTCAATGTTGATGTCTCATTACGTTGATGTATAAAATAAACCCAAGGTACGCAGCCTTGCTTTATAATCCATACATACAATGTAACAATTGTAACTTATCAGAAGCATTATCAGAAGCATTAGTAAAGTTCATGTGATTAGCACACTCTGAGCACAAGCGTTACTAGGTACATGTCTTCCCTAACTTTTTTGGCCATCAGTTAATGTAACTAAATACAAGACTCTAATTAGTCAATTGTACACCCAGGTGGAGCCACCAAACTCCCACAAGAAAGCCCACATGTAAACAAAGCATGACCTCACTATATTACGGGTCTATTATAGATCTCATTCCGTTTTTGCAAAGTTTCATTGTTTTTTTTTGCATTTACTGCACTCGCACTTCTTCAGTAAATAAATTACATGTAACTGAAAGTCTCATTAAATTGTTTGCAGGACCACATGAACACATGAAACAAGTTTTTACCCGTTATAATTGTGACCTGTCAGCAGCACGATAATGAGCTTCATGTCACATTGTTGAAGAACCAAGATATTTGTATTTCTGGCTTTTCATACTGAAAAAGGATGAATGTTTTGTACAAATTCTCACGACCTTTGCTTTACATTTGTTTGCAATCAAACGATAAAACACTTAAAGTACCATAACTGCATAATATAAATATAACAGTGTACTTGAGTGTGTAAACATACAAGATAAAGATTGAATCCTTATGCAATAAATGAAACTATGGACCGTTACAGGTCAAGGTAGATGACAAATAAATAGCTTAACAGCAGCATTGAGTAGGACCTGAAATATAACAACAAACCTCCACATTCACACTGAAGATACATTAAATCACAATATAAAAATATCACTTTCTTACAGTTATATACAATTGTTCATTTTCATAACAATCCTTATACCGAGTCCATACAGTATAATGATTAAGTTTGTTTTATACAATAATTACATCTGCTAATTGATCACATGATAAAGGTGATTTAAAAGGACTGGCCTGTGAAACTAACTTGATGAAAACGTAATACTGAAGATGAGATGAAGTTACTTTCAGACTGGACACTTAGAGTGATTAATGTTAGCATACATGTACCATCTTCTCCTTCGGTTAATCCAATTATCAAGTAGTAATATGATTAAAGGAAAGTGATGGTACATGTCAAAATAAGTTGAGTACAGTCTTGTCAAATGAACTAGTGTTTTGAACACACATTGTTAATGCTGAATAGTCCAACTCATCAATCATCCCTCATTAAACTGGTCATGGTCCAGGCATGCAACTGGGAATTTAGAAAAAACGAGACAACTCCAAACCACACAAGACTTTGTACAGTTTTTTTTCAATTTTTAATGGCATTCATGAGAAGTAAAAAACGAAGAAATCAGCTGATCCGAGGAAAAGTTGCATGCCTGGTCACCGACACCCTCTCAATTTCTAACAGTAAACAAGGTGGCTGAAGCAAAACTGAAAATCGATTTTACCATCATTCATGTCGTACATAAATAGGTCATCTTCATACATATTTAAATAGCTTCCAGATTGCAGAGAATAAAATCAGTTCATGTTTGCCTGATTAACAATATCCAAGAGTAATGTAAATCAGTTACTTTGTTCATTTCCCTGGGCCAACAAATTAAAGGAGTGATACTAGTGTTTCTATAAGATTGAATGTGGAGTATCAGCCTCATGTAATGTGCAGGGAATGACACGACACCCTGTGCAGCTCATGTTATGTATCAATCAACCTGAGTTCCTCATTCTTGGAACTAGTCAGATCAATCAGGCAGGATTCCTTGAGATAATGGAACACTATCACATCTTCCATCTCAACACTTATCTGCACAGTATGATCAAAGCTATCGTACAAGTTGCTACAATACTTGTCCCTTTCATACAGCAGTGATTCACTCCTTGACCTAGATTCAGGGAAAGCATCTTCACATAAATCGAATGTATCTAAGACACAGTCTGGTAGTGATTGCCAGCTGTGTGGATGATGCTTATGGTGCCCCTGCTGACTGTGCTTCTTCAGCATTGTGTCTCCATGTAGTTCTTGATACAGCATGTCATCGGCAATCGAAGCTAGGAACTGTTTCCTGTCCCCGACTGAAAGCCTGCAGCAATAGGATCCAAATGACAACAGTCATGAGCATCAATAAACCTTTTAAATAATCTAAACATTTTGGGCGAGGATTATTAAAGCATTTTCGACGACTGTTTGTGGAAGAGTTTATTCAGTTGCGAAACAGTCTTGAATCACCTCCATCTGCCATTTTGAAAAAAAAAATAATTGCCCGACTTTCTTCAGAATCGTGCCCCAACTCTAAAATCTCTGTCAAGAGTAAAATAGCAATTCAGTTACCTCAAACACCGATACATGCATGAATGTCTTGTATCAACCTTGATAAGTTGTGCAATAGGCTCCACAAAGATCACGATTTGCTAGTAAAATAGTTCATTTTCAGTCTTTGCACCAATTACACCATCTAAAAATGATCACAACTTATACCATAATTTGTTGCACAAGTCCTAGACTTACGCACTTTATATGAAACTTTGGTGAAGTCTGTCATAACTGAAATGTTGCACAGTGTAAAGTGTTGAGCAACTTATGCACTTTATTATGGTGCAAGCCAAGGGAAGCTGTGCCATTGCGTAAAGGGTCGTGAAATCGGCTGCTACTGGTTTGGCAACTAACCTATTGAGTAGACTAGCTGCTGAAGTACGCCTGAGCATGTGTCTGATTAAGCCCATCAGTTGTTTCCATATATGATGCACATCATGATGAACTCGGGGCAGGATTTTGGCAAACCTACATGTAAACACAGGCATTGGAATTCATATCAAATGCTGATGCAAACATTTCAGTCATTTATTCAAGTCAAGTTTCTACACTTTAACGCAAATCACACATCATTTCAAGGAAGTTCAAGTCAAGCCAAATTTTTTTTTTCATGCAGCATGTGGCATTATAATTTTTGGTTGGTAATGGTTATATTATATGCATAGTTGCATTGTTTTATTGTTTGTCGAAGGCAGCAACTTTACACAGATACATGACATAATCTGAGAACTTCCATGAGAAATATTTGCTCAAATTCGTTCTTTAAATCTGCCAAATATCAGCCATTCACCTACCTCGAAAAAATATATCAATACATACATGATGTTCTTTGCATTGTTTTAAATAATAAGCTCCTTGTCAATTTATGACTAGTGCAGGTGCACGCAAATTCTGATCAACTAGCAGTTTAGGCTGATGCATGTAAAACTTGATCAGCACAATATCCAAACAGTCAATTAAGTCCTGAGTTAGAATAATCAAATACTAAATTGTTGAATAATTGACAGCAGTAGCTCCATATTGGAGGACAGACAGAGTACACTGTCATAATTGTAGGTCCTCATTAGGTTCTTTTCAGAATTGCACTTCCTCAAAGACGAGATATTCCATGGTGTACCATATTGTAACTTTCTTTCATGCAAAGCTTGAATCACTTGTAACAGTCATGCGACATCAGCAAGATATTCAATTCAGCATACATAATACTTGAAACAGCACACATCGGATAAACTAGTGATTTATTGCAATATTATCTTTTGTCTGATAAGCTCAATGTGCATGCAATTGCAGCTTTTACCTGTAATAAAACGACTCATTAAGCTTGATTGCATCTTTTTCTGATCATCAAAAGCAACTTTTTTTTCAGAGGCAATTCAAATCCCCTGCTAAAAAAAAATGAAATAAAAATGTCCCCCAATTTTGGTGGCAGATGCATAATCCAAGTAATTACAACAAAATGTTAAGTCTTAGAGTATGTGTGAAGGTTTTCAGATAGCACTGACCTGACTGTGAAGAGCACCACTGTCTCAAATGTGATGACATATGGAAGAGCCATGAATGAGACTGCCTTGAACATCTTGAACTTGAATAAGTAATTCAGCAGAGTGTTGTCCAGCATCACTGCTTCTCGGATAGCTGTAAATAAAAATAAAAAACACTTCATACTTACAACTGTATCAAATTGTTTGATATTCATATTCTAAGAAATTAAAAGGTTGACGGACCATCCACCAGTCAGACACAGTTTATCAAACCACCTTTACAGAAAAAAATTACACAGTAACACACAAAACAAGCCCTAAAAGTAAAACCAATCAATTGGAAAATAACACGACAAGTGGTGTAATCTGTAACACGAGGCATTTTAGTGATTAATAAACAAACTAAATCTGACATGTTCCATATAATATGACACACTTCATGAAATCAGATACTGATGGTCTCATCATAGTTTTTAATTCACAAGATCAGTTACCAATGTATCTAGAGTATAGAGAGAAAGAGCAACAAACACAAGGTCAGGATCTCATCCAACAATCCTGCACCACATTTTGTAGATCTGGCAGGAGCTTCTACATGTTACTTGGTTGCCGGTCGGTCTGTCTGTCCCGAAAATTGACCCAAAGTATGGTGTTCCATATGTGCCATCAGTGTCGCATTTTTTCATTGATTTCATGCAAGACTTTCAAGCAAGACTTCTTGCAACACGGCCAGAGCTTATTGTGCACTCACACTTGTTACTCGGATAAAGCTTCTAATCAGTGGATTATGATCAAAACTCTAAGGTACCAAAGTGCTCCAAATATATGGCCTCCACAGGCCATGCATACATGAATGGCCTCCACAGGCCATTCATAGATGCACAGCTTGTGTAGCAATGATGACGCTATGCCTCCAAATGCGATTTGTTGAGTTGGTCTGTACATGTGTAATGACTTACCATTAGTAACCTGAGGAGGTAGACTTCCTTTCAACATGGTTTGTTCAGCTCGTATTTTACAATCTTCACATTCTTCCTCATCTTCAAAGAAGTCATCATCATTCCAATCTTCCCAGGTCTCGTTATCGTTTGCTTCCAGGATGTCTTGCAGAAGTTGTAAGTCACTACTGAGTGACTGTAGAGAGGAGCGAGATAGTAGAGTACTACGAAGTGACAACTGAGCTTCGGATAACCGCCGACGCTCACTGCTTAGACCACTGCAGGACGGAGATCTGCTTAAACTCAGATGCCGATTGCAAGGAATCACAGCTGTAAACAACACAAGAAAAGAAACAATACATTCCATTCTAGTAACATTAATATGCACAGTACACTCAATGCTGTTTAAGCAATTGCAAAAAAATCCATAAACTTACTTAATGAAGGCCACATTCTTCCTGACGCAAGTTCCATCGTACAACGCACAATTTTTGAACCATTTTTCATACATCTATTTACTATGATCAAAATAAAAAGAGTTTGCAGTGATGAGGGTTTTCATATAATTTTCTGATGTTGAGTTTGCTACATGTTTTCTGTAATGAGTGTTAACCCTAACCCCCCAGGCCCTTTTTGCTTGGAACCATCCTCAATCCTCCAAAATCCTCCAAAATGTTGCACTTATGTTCAAATGAAGGACACCTATATAGTCACCATGTTGAAAGGAAGTCTACCTCCTCAGTGCCTCAATCCTTCAAAATCGTCAGACAGTCCTGCCTCAAAAAATGCATTCATCCTCAATTCTCCAAAATCCTCCTCATCTTCAAACGCCATTCATCCTCAATCCTCCAAAAGAAAACCGCATGTTCATCCTCAATCCTCCAAAATCCTCGCGTTTCTCAAACACCATTCATCCTCAATCCTCCGAAATTGTCCAAAACCGAAATGAGGATTTTGGGAATTGAGGTGGGTTTAATGATAGTAATGACTTACCATGCGACTGTAGATAACGTAACGTATCATCATATCCCTGCTGACATAGTTTCCTTAGCTTCTCTGGTTCTGGGGGATACAGGGCTCTTGACAAACGCCAGAAATTGGTGGATGTGACATGAACGTTAAGGTTTGCTGAGGTACATCTGAGGTAGTCACCAAACTCCTGGGAGGATGGACAGATGTCAAATTCTCCTGAGAAGGGACAGATTGTCACGGTATCTGGGCTCAAGACAGGACAGTTATTACTCAGACCACCATCCCAGTATCTCTGCAGGACAGGGAAGAAACAGAACAGATGTGATGTGCAATCACTGCTTTACTATAAAATGCAAATGATGTGTGTTTGTGTGCGTTTACCTGCGTGCGATTGCCTACGTAGTGGGACGACTCACCCCACAAATTGGGTAATCATGCGTGAAGCTAGCTACACATGTACGTGTACTCGTGGACAAAGCCGCCTTCCATGAAGAAGGCGTGGCAAAGTCAAAGGCAAAGACTGACTGTAGTCCAGATGATCTTGACAATGATTTGTCAACTTGAAGAAATTTAATTTCGTAATACTAAAGGCATGAACTACTAAAGGCATGAACTACTAAAGGCATGAACTACTAAAGGCATGAACTACTAAAGGCATGAACTACTAAAGGCATGAACTACTAAAGGCATGAACTACTAAAGGCATGAACTACTAAAGGCATGAACTACTAAAGGCATGAACTACTAAAGGCATGAACTACTAAAGGCATGAACTACTTGTTTCTTTCTTTAAAAACATAAGATGCAGAAATTATACACGTGTACATCTAATTCTTCAATGAGTTATGCTAAGTCTAATGGATTTGCTAAGTAGGCAAGTAAATGAGTACACTGTGTACTTACTGTTCCTCTAAATGTAGGTGGGATCATTCCTGAGTAGAATGGCACAAACGCACTGCATAATACTGCCTGTAAAGCACATGAAAAACACAGAAAAGGAACTATATAATTGTATTGAAGTTCATCATAAAATCCTAAAAGGCCAAAAAAAATAATACTTCTGCTTCCGGTTAGCCGACTGACCCCATTTTTAGGCTGCGACCCCTAAACATTTTATCGGCAATTCCAAAAAAATAAAAATAAAAAAAATCATGATTGAATAAATAAAAATAAAAGCTTGTTGTCTTTTCTGTCTTCACAAAATACCTCTCAACAACCCATTTGCGTCAAAAAATGCTTGTTTTTATTTGTTTTCTTACTTACATTCGCTATTTTTTTCAAAAGAAAGCAAATTCGCTCCGCAATCTGTCATCATACCTCGCAATTCGATGTCACATTGACTATAATCACGTGCGTAAACCTTGCTCAATGCAGTGACGACTGGTTCCCGCCGCGCCGCCCAGGGGCCAATTTAGAAGACATGATGAAAATGCGGTAACCAGTCTGTCATGGCTATGCAATCGCTTGCGCTAGCATACATTAGGCACGTGCACTGTCAGTGTCAACTGGTCGGATTCGACATCGTAAAAATGCCAAGAAAACACGGATGGAGAAAGAACATTTTTGCAAGTTAATTCACAGAATTGATCTATCTTGTCCGTGTATGTATTTTCCGAGTTCAAGAGTTCATTTTGAGATCGCACTACTCGTATTTGGAGTGATACATGCAGCGTGTTTCCCGAAATTTTCGACTGAAAACGAGGTCTGTCGGCCGCAGGCCACACTTGCACAGTGCATCACACACTTCAGAGTTTTGGCCAGCTTCCCGTCTTGACTAGCGTTGTGCATATGGTGCGAACGACCTGAATTTTCCATTATTTTTTTAAGAATTATCGAATGTAAATATGTTGACAATAATTAAGGTAGGTTTTATTCACTTTTTGTGGCCATTTTGTGTATAGCTTTCGTAGTGCAATGGAAATAGTTCAGGCTAAAACTTCGCATATAGTTGAATACCCCATTCAATCTGCATAAAAAAAATTGGCCAAAAAAAAAAATTCCGACCGACCGACCCTATTTTTGAAAGGCATGTAATCGGAAGCAGAACATTTTTTTTCCGGCCTAATTAAGGAGCCTCGGAAAATACAAAACTTTTTATTCCAGGGTCTTCATACTTGTTACATGTCATCATTTGCTGCATGATTGGGTCCAATGTCTCTCCTATTGACCTTATTCATGGCTAGGTTAGGGAAAGACTAATTATCTGAAATTACTCATGCCCTTGAACCACTAATGACCATGAACGTTGAATCACATGGCTACAGCAACAACTGCTTTATTGTAACATTACCTTAGACTAGTTAACATGCATAAATTGCATCTTTAAAAATCATATAAAAGAAAGTCTTTCAGTTTTGTTTGCACAGCTGTGCATACCATATCCTGTACCATGTACACTGTCCACAACAAACTCAATTTATATGACTGGTTATAATTTGGTCACAATTAAATGCACCTGTTTACTAGCGATGTTGTGGAGATACATGTATTTCAAGTACTAATACTGCCAAATGTTCTGTTCGTTGCCATTAGGTGTACAACAAAGTATTTGGTGTGACATGGGTAGTGGCATTCAATTTTGCAGGCGCTGTGTAAGAATTAAACTTAAGGTATGGCACTAGAAGTTACCGAATTCAAGATTAAGAATGTGAATCCATACTAAGTTTGGTAACATTCAGCAAATCTTTCATGCACCATTGAAATGTTTAGCAAACACCACAGGCTTTGTCTGTCACCTGTCCCAATCAGAGATCCCTAATAATGGAAGGCAATCAACATACAACTCCACCACTGGACCGCATTCACCAGAAACCCATTGTTCCCTGAATACATTGTGAACAGTTGAATGGGATGGTGCCAGACTATTTATGCATTCTAGCCTCACTTTCAAATTTTTTAATGTGGCATAAAACATTAGGATATATGTTTAATCACAAATTTTTAATTATTCATTAGAGCAGACTGGTATTTGTAATTAACTTTATGTGATTGCTGTCATTTCTCTCCACAAATTCCAAAAATGAAGATTTGACCTCGCTTTCAATTTAATATGACCGACTCGTGAATAAAGCCCATAGTCGTATTGAACACATCAAATTTATGTTTGAAACAATAATAACTACATGTACATTCTAAAAACTTTAACATAAACTTCCGGGGATATGTGCTACTAAATGCGCTTTGTGATGTTTAATTAACGTTGCTCTCCTGTGCTATTTTCGAGATTCACCATGAAATTTTTTCCCATGTTATTTCCTAGCAATACCATTTCGCCTTGGAATGAGGTACTGCACAATTTTGTTAAAAATTGTATTTTTCAATTTTCACATGTACATGGAAAAAGTTACAAATTTTGCGTCTATGTGTACTTGTTTATACATTCAAATTGTGGATGTTGAACAATAGAGGACAATAGGGTCCACAATTGACGAAGGTCCCTAATTTACGATCGTGTGCAAAACATATGGGAGGTCTTCCTAAAAAGAGTACAAACAAAAGAGGGACAATAGGGGGTCCCCGATTGCAGGCAAATACACGCGTGTGGGTAGGCCTACACTGAGTTATGGGGAAGTTTATCATTGTTAGGGTAATTAGGACCGAGTTATGGGGACTTTCTGCTGTCCCCACAGCATTTTTGGTCCCCACAAATACCTCATAGCGACAAGTGTATGTCCCCACAACTTAACTACAGAACAAGAAAATGGTAGTTTAAACTTTCAAACATGTATGTCACATCTACATGTACATTGCTTTATTCTCAATCTGATGGTTTCATGGATAAATTAAAATACAGAAATGTGATGGGGCAGCAGACAGGCTGGAATGCCTTTCACTCCGATGGCATGACCAGACTATTATAAGATGGAATGTTGTAATGACCAGACTACACAACACCTGCTGCTAAAGCAAACACAAAATGCACACACAGTGTTAGAATATAGAGAGCAAGGACAATGAGATTATACTGCCACATAATACCACTGGACCCTTTTATTAGAAATGTAATAGGTTTGGCCCTGAATTATATATCACATCCAGGTTTGATTACACAGGATGCCCTGTTGACAAGAAATTATGTAACATTATGTAACTTGCATTGTACTACTGGAGCTCTGCATATAACTGTTTGCAGGGTAGCATCTGTTCAGACACATGTTCAGACATGTGACATGGCCCAAGCATTACACAGGATATTCATGTACACGTATACTATGTACAGTTGCATGTACATGTACATGTACATGTATGCCATAAAGATGCCGTTTCATATTTGAGCAATCCCATATGATGGTATGATGATTTAGCCAAATTTTGTGCACTAAGTAGGGTTGGGAAATTTACAATAATTCCATTATTTCAATGATTAGTATGCAACTAAAGACTGTCCCAAATTCACTCTGCAATGACGTGGTGTAAGAATTGGCTTTAAAGAGGTTGTGGAATGCTCGAAGACATTTCCGTCATTTTTCAGGTATATGTAGCCTAAGGTGTGATTAAATAAAAATGACTATTGTGTCTGTCATGAAATGAGTACAAAAGGTACTTTTGAGAGCTGTTTTTCAGGTCCAGTTTCGACCCGAACGTGCAATTGGGGGAGTCCTGTTTATTACGTCACGATTTACTATGTTTTGTTTGCTGCCCCCAACGACGACTTTTACACAAATTGCACGTTCGGGTCGAATATCTATCTATCAAGTCGGCTCGAGACGTTGCCGTGAGGCCGTCTTGAGGCGGGAACGATGCCTGACGCGCCACACCTCCCTTGACTCCATGCAACTTGCCAACTCCTCCTTCGTCTCGACTCCTGCATCCTGCATCAACGTCATCAACATAGTTGTCCTTGGGCGTCCAGGCTCTCGTCTGCCATGCGTTGGTTCCCAAGCCACGAGCTTACTAGCAGGCAGCTCAGGGTGTCTGTGGCAGTGACCAGCAAGCTGCAACCTACGCGCCTTGATCTTCTCCGTGAGCGCAGGGAGTTTTCCATAGAGCTGGACATTGGTAACGTGGTCCTGCCAGCTAATGTTCTGAACCTTCCTCAACATGCGGGTGTATGTGCCATCCAGTTTCTTAACCATGGTTTTTGTCAGAGTCCATGCCTCACAGCCATATAGGAGGATTGTCTCCACTGTTGCTTGAAAGAATTTGAGCTTTAAGGGCTTGGGCATTGAAGATGCCCATATCTTTCCCATGTCGTTTAGTGCTCTCCACGCCAGAGCCTTTCTTACTTTGATGTCCTTCTCAGAGCTTTCCATCCTTGATCCCAAGTATTTAAAGTCCGTTACTAGCTTTAGTGTGGTACCGTTGATGGTCTTTAAGAGGCTCATGATCTCCGATCGAGAACGCCATGTATTCCGTCTTCTTGGCATTGAGATGAAGCCCCACTTTCTGGCATTCTGACTCCACTCGGCTGAGAAGCTCTTGCGCTGCCTCAATCTCATCCGACAGAAGAGCTATGTCATCAGCAAAGTCGAGGTCTGAGAGTGTCACCGGTCCAATTCTCCGTGACTTCCTAGGAGTGATAGTGAAGCCCAGGTGTTCGTTATCCTTGAGCGCCCTCCTCATTGCAAAGTCAAGGACAATGATGAAAAGGAAGGGAGCTAAGGTGTCTCCCTGCAACACCCCTGCGAGCAGCTCAAACTCTTCGCTGATACCATCCGGTGTGACAACTCTGGCAGTGGTTTTTGAGTAGACAGCTTCAATGGCAGCCAACAGCCTTGGTGGAACTCCATATGCCTTCAAGATGTTGATCATTTTGCCCCTGTGAATAGAGTCAAAAGCCTTCTTAAAATCGATGAAGGTCAGGACAGCACCGAGGTTGAAGTTCTTCACCTCCTCAATGATTCTTCGGAGAGCGAAGACTTGAGCCACTGTCGACCTTTTTGGTCTGAAGCCGTTCTGGTTGTATCTTTGTCTTGGATCAATGGCCCCTCTTATCCGGTTGAGTATGAGCCGATTGTAGATTTTGGCAATGGTACATGTAAGACTTATGCCACGATAGTTGTCAGGAGAGTTTAAACTGCCGGACTTCGGTACAGGAATTATGTGCAACAACGCCCATTGCTCCGGTTTTCCACGACCCATCAGCGCATCATTGCAAAACCCCATATTGTTTCCCGGAGGTCACAACACTTCAGCACCTCAGGTGGGATTTCGTCGGGACCAGCACTCTTGCCAAGTTTAAGCGGTGCAATCGCCTCCTCAAGATCCTTCATAGTGAACTCCTCATCATCGGGTCGAAACAGGACCTGAAAAACAGCTCTCAAAAGTACCTTTTGTACTCATCTCATGACAGACACAATAGTCGTTTTTATTTCATCACACCTTAGGCTACATATACCCGAAAAATGACGGAAATGTCTTCGAGCATTCCGCAACCTCTTTAAATGCAAAAGCTAAACCAATAAATGTCCAGTTTGAATACAAACCTCAATGACTTCCTCTTTGGATTTGAAGTCAGATACGATGACGTTGGTCTTGTCCCAGACTCGTGTAAGTGATATATGTAATCGTCCAGCTGCCAGTTCATGGATGTTGTCTGGTAATACTTTGTGCATGCGTTCATTCATGTAGCCATGCAGATCAAAGAATGGATGGAACGGTCCAAGCAGACGGGATCTGGCTTTTTGAACCAGCCGTAGAACATTATCTGTAGCCTTACCTACAGAAATAAGAAAGAAATTCACACTTCAGTTACTAACCTTTGCCAAACTTACACAAAGTAACATCTACTTAATCGATTTTGGATTTAAGTTGTTACTATAAAGGGAACGTGCATTTGCTTTTGCTGCAATTTTCAGAAATGGATTGATTTGGGGGTTTAGTATTTTATAGCAAATATTGTTGCACTGACTTGTTTGAAGTTCTGTGTTTGTAGATGATGGAATAACCAAGAAAAACAATACTGTTCCTGTAGTCTGGTTCCCTGACCCACGTAAGATGAAACGGAGCAATTTATAGATGTCAGGGAATTGTTAGGTCAGGGAACCAGTCTAGCTGGCTGATACCTGTTCATAGGTGTGTGAATCGATTGCAAACAAAATGCGGACTACATGTAACTAAATATGGTAAATTGGGGGCAGCATGAAAAAAACCATTTTTTTCAATTTGGAAATTGATACAAATATACTACTTTTCTTGAAAATGTCAGCACACCAGGTGCCCTGATTTTACAGGATGCTTTAGACTGTCATTCACTCACAGTCCAGCAAGGTATTAATAATAAGTTGGTAGTTTTGTTTTTTGATGTTTGCAAATGTTGTATATTTCCTTTTAACGCAGAAAATACTTTCGAAAGAGAGTAGAAAATGCAGTTTGTCATATGAAATGATCTGTGGTGTGGTACCCCCATACATCGCCTGCACAGAGTTTTTGATTGTCATCACGTGATGCATTGCATAAATTTTGCATAATTAACCACACAACATGGACGACAGCCGTTGGAACTGGACATTTCTTATGGACAAGCCACTGAAATCATCAACATTTTTCATTGTTAAGTTTTTTGTTCCGTTTCAAGTCAATCATTAGTTTTGTGAATAACTGCTGCATAGTTATGAGGTATGTAAATGGAATCTTGGGTGGGATTTAAGAGGGAAAAAGGGCCATTTCGTGGAGGCCATTTTTTTAGGGTCTTTTACGATCTCACTTTTACAACGTACACTCCAGCGCTACATGTGAATTCCTGATGAGCATGTCAGCTGGAGTTACTCAAGCTAGCTAAAGAGTGAGCAAAGTTGGCCTGATTAATTTTTGCACCTTTCAGAGCACTCCAGGTCCCAGTCTGGGATGGTGCCAGACTATTTATGCAGTAGACTGCATAAATAGTCTGGCCTCACTTTCATTTTTTTTTTAAATGTGACTTATGGCCTGTATTTTATCACACATTTTAAATTATTCATCAGAACAGACTGGTATTAATTTGTATAATAATTACCTTTATGTTATTGCTTTCATGTTGCTTTCATTTCTCTTCGCAAGTTCCAAAAATGAAGATGTTACCTTGCTTTCAAATTATAAATATGGCCAACTTGTGAATAAAACCGATTTGGAAAACATGCAATACAACTAAGAAAATAGACTAGCACCCTAAAACAACCAACAGTCCAACAATCCGTTGGCACTGCATCAATCAACTGTGTCGAAAGAAACATCTTGCATTCTGGTCTCTAATTCTACATTTAGACCAATGAACAAATTAAATAATGAAAACAGTTGGACATGTAGGCCTGCCAGAAATTTGGCCTCAAATTGATATCACTTGCAGGTGTAAAATATCAAACAAAAGTCTCCGTTAAAAATGGAATCGAGTCTTTAAACTTGGTTGATGAAATACTGAGGACCTTGTCTTTGCCTCAGGAATAGGAAAGTACACATTTAATGGAGCATTTTTTCCTGCCTAGGACAAGTAAATTTTGTTTATCCTGCAAGTTTATTGTACATTTTTTGGTTTTATTATTAATGAGATTCAAGGGGCGGGGAAGAATTCTCGACAGCGATTGGTCAACAACTGACGCGCCTTTCCGACTCACGCTGAAGGACCAATAGGAGACCTTGTTCTATAGGCCGTTACAAAGGCTATGATGACGTTGCAATGTCACGCGATGCATGGCACGGTTCCAAGTCCCACTACGTCAATGTTTACATTTTGAACACTCTTTTCTCACGGTGGAATTAGCGCCTACAAATCCATATTTCATCGACAATTCGGCATCACAACATGAACATTTCCCCCTTAACTACATGCTTATGATGTGATAAAACAAAATCGGGGAAACTGACCCATAATTCGGCAGAAAGATAGCATTAAATGATTTTGTAGCAAGGGCGTCAGTAAACATCAACAGCGGCGGCCTGGGCCGATCCGATCCCCGACCCGAAAAAGCCTGGTGGTCAGTCAATGGCTCACAGACAAGGCATCTGATATTTATTGAAGAACCTCTTACAGTTTACAAAATGTACATTTTAAAAGCATCGTTAGGGCCTACAAATTATTTGATGATGACTTACCAAAGTCTATATCTGCAACAATACAACAGGCTACCAACGCCCCAGCCGAAGCGCCGTTGATATTTCGAATCAGATTTGGTGCGTGTTCTTTAAAACAACTGGCAACACCGATGTGATAGATGCCTAAAAAACCACATCCAGAAAACGCTAAATCCATGCTCATATTAAGCTCGAGGTTTAATGTATAAACTGTATTTCTTGGTGACTGTCATAAGAACGTGCGAAAAAGGACTGCATTATTTTGTGAAAAAATCTACAGTCACCACGATCACACTGATCATGCAGTTCCGTGTGTACTGTACAATATAATGACGTAGCTAGCAGAAACGAAATGGCCGGCCGGTACGCGTACGCGGTACGGTCGGCGCGGCGCGGCCGCGCCGACTCGTACGTCACGCGATCACTGTACTAGGTACGGGTGTGCATAATTTATGTATACTGTCGTCTGATTGGTCACACCTCCAAATCGTCACACTCATTCATAATACGGTGTGTAGCGCATCATTTACGTGCACTTCCTCCATGCGTGCACATACATTGAGAAATTATGGGAAAGAGAAGTTAATTTGAGTCGTGGATCATTTTTTTTTAATCGACACATTTGTTTTTCCTTCGATTCTAAATTCCATGAATTGAACCTGGGTGCTGATTCACTGAACAGTTGTTCATAATGTGAGATTTAGGCCTATGGTGGCGCTAGCTGGCAGTGGACCCGTTAATTGTAGCGATTGGGACGGGGGTTTTCAATTTCGAGAATCGAGACCCATCGAACTTATTTTTTTGTATACTGTATGTAAAGGTGTCTAAAGATGGGGCGTCGTTTTAATACTTGATTGTGGTGTTGAAATTAAGCCTTGAAGTGAATATATCTTGGGAAACATTCATGTGTAGCTTCCTACTCCTCTTAAATGTATGAAAAATATTTGATGTCCCTTTTTTATCATCCTTTTTTTGTTAATTTTATTGATAAGTGCACGCCAAAAAACAATTAAAACATTTTCTTGCTTTCCCTGGCAAATGAGGGCGCTGTGTCTGTGATGTCATTAATTTTCAGGAAGACACTCGGTTCACTTTTCTGGTAAAATGTTCGACCCAAACTTTGCCCATCGAAAAGATTTTGAGAAAACTTTACTCAATGGCTTACTGTTATGTACTTAACCAACAACAACATATCAACAGAGAAAAGAAAATGTATTTGAAAGCAAATTAAAACAAAGTTCCCGCGAATGTCTGTGCTGAAATAGCTGTTACATTACACTTTTGTTCATGAATATGGAAATATTCATTAGCATAACAACCAAACAGGCACCAAAACACCCTTAAAAATTACAAAATGAAAATTGAAAATAAGGTTAAATGGGAAACAAAGGTGCATTTTCAAGTATTGCATTAAAATTACATTACATGGGCCCACTGGCCATTCCTTTTACCTGATTAATCAAAATTATTCCTCAGCAAATTTAAAGTCTAGTTGAGAAATACGAAGGGACGGACATGTATCTTTACTAATTAATTTTGGCTATTAATCACTGTGTTAATTACAATTACTGGGTTCACATAAAAGCTTACGTTTCAAAAAATCATGTGAAGGTTTCCTTACTGTATACTGTTGTTGCAAAGTAGAAGGTTTTGCAGCTGCATGTTTTATAATTTATAGGAGGAAACGTCTCTTGCGATGATATCGAAAACGTCGACGGTTTGTCCCGTTTTGCTACCGTCCCGGGTGTTGATATCTAACGTACGTTTGAAAATATGTAATTGGCTAACTCACAACAACTTGAAAAGAAATGAAAAAATAAAGAACCAGACAATAATTAGATTTTTGTCTGAGAAACGCCAGCGATGTCGGCTTGCATGTTATTTGGCCCTGAACTTTGTTGATTTTACACTGTTTTCAATGGGGCTTCAATTGGGGCAGTTCACCCTTTAGTGCTTCGAAGAATTGCACTCTAACGAAGACTGTCAAATCAGGCATGCGAGGGCGCACTATATACGGAATCAGTGTGGCCACTACTTGAAAAAAATTTCAAGATCTTGAAAAATTGAGACCCAACTTGAAAACTTGAAAAAAACAATGAAAAAGCAAGAAATCTTGAAAATTTTCAACTAAAAGTACAAAACCATATGCTTTGTAGAAACTTTGACAACTTTTTCCACTGAACACCAAAGCTTTTTAGCGACTTTTATTTTAACTTTGTAATTCTTTTAGCATTGGCGCGCTATACTTACTGTCAGACCCTGCAGTGTACAATGTATGTAAGCTTAGGCTAGGCACTGCATGACACGCGCTTCATTTAGATGCCCTCTCCGGGAGAGTTTGACAGAACATTTGACAGAATGGATTTTTTTTGGCAGATTTCTGGCAGGATTCTGCAAAAATAGTATTTTGACAGAAAATTAACAGCAAATTTGAAAAAAATGGCACATTTGTTGAAAGGAGCTTCAATCCTTTCAAAAAAAAAACTTCGCATAATGGGACAGGTTGGCTGGTCTAGTAATTTTCATAGGCTTGAAAAATCTGGAAAAAATTTAGATGGCGATCTTGAAAAAACAACAACACAAAGTGGCCACACTGTACGGAATTAGGCAGCATGGGCTGTGAACATCAACTGAACGGGGGCTATGGGTGCAACTCTGCAATAAAATTCCCATAGACACTGGTTCTAAATGCCCATATTTCAAAATTCTTTTAGAAATACTCAGAACTCTCACAGGTATTTAAGCTGCACAGAAAAATCTTGATCAACATGTCATCTTTCATTTTCTTTTTTATTTTTTGGTGGGTTGACCATTGACTTTTCTAGGAATTCTCACTCAAAGAAGATGACCCCTATTTTTTCCCAAATCGGAAAAGTAGCCATCTTGCAAAACGATCCCTCCACAACATGGCAAAATAGTGCCACTTTCGAGCCCAATTGCATCCAAAATGCTCAGAATTGGAAGCGCCAAGTCTGGGCCCGAGGTTCATTGCCATATCTCTTCCATTCTCCATTGTTATGCATCTCAGAACTCTCTAAATATAGAATATTTTGAGGGTATAATTTTCATTCATGAGCTCGGCGGATGGGTTTAAGCCTATTTACCGGTGTGCACCCCTATAGACCATTATCATGTTGCAGCCATTTGTTTTTTTCCATTCAAATCAATGTAACCAAAGCGAGGCTGAAAGGAAAAATAGTCTGGTTCCTTTTTGGATAAAAACATTTTCATTCAGTACTGTTACTGGATACAGGGAGCATGACTGAAATGGCAGCATGATAAACGTCTATACAAACTATATATGACCATAATATTTGCACAAATGGGTTAAGTTTTGCCCAATGTTGCCAGGGGCGGAATATTCACAGTGGGTGCGGGGGGGGGGGGTTCATTGCCAATAAATCTGAAACGTTTGACAGGGTTTTTCTCCGGACACTTTGGCCTCCGAAAATCAATAGGTGGGGTTGGGTCAGGTGGGGGGGGGGGGGGGGGCTCGGCTCGTACCATAATTTCAATTGGGGCGGTGTTTAAATCCGCCGATTAATTAATACTATATCACAGAATAGTGTACATATACTCCCTAACCAAGCCGGCTCTGTCCGTGTTTTGTGCAAAGGCGGACATTACTACCAGTAAACATTTTTTTGGGTATCACAGCTGGGGGAGGGGGGGGGGAGTTCGTATTTTTAAAAATATATTTCTATGGATTTTTTTTTGGACAGAGCTGGGGTGTTATTAGACCCCCCCCCCCCGCCCGGATCCGCGCCTGGTTGCTCAGCATATACTAAATGCCGACACTCGACTGCTCTTGTGGTTTTTTGCCCCGAAATATGGCTTTTCTCTTCCTTTCGAGTTTACCAACAAAAATAAACAATTAAGGACTTTCATATAGATCGGGGCGGAGTGACGTTCATTTTCATGGATTGTTACGTGTTACCATTGGGGCCATATTCAAGAAACTTTACTAAGCCTAGTTGGTTACTAAAAAGGCATGTACAGTAGTTGCTTACTAAGCTTAATTGATATAACTTATTGGTATTCATGAAACATTACGAGTGTTAGTTACATTCCAAGTTTCTTACTAAAGTTAGTGTTGATCCAGGGCAACTCTAAGTCACTAGTTATATAGCAACTGTATCATTTTTTGTTGTGCCAGACTTGGCTCTTAAGGTGGCTTTCCCCCTCCGGTTGCCTCCTTGGACTTTCTCATAAGCGATGCACGCAACAATAAAGTTGTAATTTTAAAGAATTGGAACATTTGTATTTTTAATTTCCATTTTTGTATTACAATCAATCATTATTATCTGGCCTAAATATGTGTTCTTTCATTCAACCTTCGGCCGCCATTTCATATTTTGGAAACAAAACTCAAGAAAACAGCTCCCCAAACGGCATGTCATGCATGTTTTGAAAAATGAAAAATTCAGCCAATCCTGGCCAAATCTCGCTGGGCCCGCAACCCCCTAGCCCCCGCTCAATGTTGTCTCTCATTGCGCGGTGTGTGCTCCATCCGTTGGAGAGAACAACATTGACCGGGGGAGCGGGGGAGTTGGTGACCGTTGGAGGCTAAGGTTATTTCCAAGTGTCCCAATCATTTTGGCCGGGATTGTAGCTTTATATGCAATTGCTAGAGGATTTGATGCTGATTCATCTACATGCAGTACGCTACACAACATAATTATAGGCCTTGGTATTCTTTTTGCTACTCCACGCAAGTGCTCCACATGTATTAGCCTAATACACCTCACACTATTGTATCTGTTGTCATCACATTCCACACATGCCCAGCCCACCCAAAAGCACCCATTTCCAGTTACTCACGTAAGCAACTAAAAAATTCTCCTATATGTAACTAGTTAGCAAGGTTCTTATTATAGTTTCATGAATTGCAATTTAGTTGTCAACTCCATAGTAGACTACTAGGCATTTTAGTATCCTACTAAGGCCTTGTTGGCTGCTAAGCAGGGTGACCGTAAGGTCATGACAAAATTCTGCTAAATGCGCTTCAAAAATCTGTCAGCTTCATCAAAAATCTGCCAAAATTCCCCAGATTTCCGCGAAATACACTAAAAACACTTAAAATCACATGCAGATTTGTTGTTGTTGGCATCCGTCTGTCTCGGAAGACAATGGAGTATCTGCGCCTTGGTCAGTCCGTTGTACTTGCACAGCGCCTGATGTGGCTGTAGAGCCCAATGCGGGAGCTACAGGTCCTTTGGCATTTGCTGCAGGTGTAGTTGATGGTGGTGGCGACGGGAGTTGCCTGGAGCCTCTGCCGCCTGCGGGTCCTCCTTTCTTCCCACTGACTCTTCCTCCTCTCCTCGGCTTGCAGGACCCCCGCCGTGACAGTAGATCGCCAGG